ATTTCTTGAAGAACCTCCATACTGTTTTCCATAGTGACTATACCAATTTACATTCCCACCAACAATGGTTCCCTGTTCTTCACATCCTCTTCAACACTTATTTCTTTTTTGGATAATAGATATTCTAACAGGTATGAGGTAATATCTCATTTTGGTTTTTTGATTTTCATTTCCCTGATAATTAGTAATGTTGAACATCTTTTGATTGCCTGTTGGCCATCTGCATGTCTTCTTTGGAAAAATGTCTATTTACATCCTTTGCCCATTTTTTCATTGGTTTTTTTTTTTTTTTTTTTTTGCTATTGAGTTGTTTGAGTTCTTTTTTAAAAAAATTAATGGATTAAATGTTTTTTTTAAAGACTTTGTTTATTTTTTTTGAGAGAGGGAAAGGGAGGGAGAAAGAGAAGGAAAGAAACATTGGTGGGCTCTTGCACGCCCCCAGCTGGGGACCTGGCCCGCAGCCCAGCCCTGTGCCCTCGACCAGGATTCAAACCAGCGGCCTTTTGGTTCACAGGATGGTGCTGTGGTCCACTGAGCCACACCAGCAATGGCTTGAGTTCCTTATATGTTTTGGATATTAACCCCCTATCAGATTTATGATTTGCAAATATTTTCTCCACTTCAGTAGGTTACCTTTCTATTTTGTTGATGGTTTCCTTTGCTTTGCAGAAGCTTTTAGTTTGATATAGTCTCACTTGTTTAATTTTGCTTTTGTTGTCTTTGCTTTTAGAGTCAGACCCCAAAAATCATTCCTGAGACTATGGCAAGGAGCTTACTGCCTATGTTTCCTTCTGGGAATTTTATGATTTCAAGTCTTACACTCAAGTCTTTAATTCATTTTGAGTTAATTTTTTTGTATGACACCAGACAGTGGCCCAGTTTCATTCTTTTGCATGCATCTGCCCAGTTTTCCCACCACCATTTATTAAAGAGACTGTCCTTTCCCCTTTGTTTATTCTTGGCTACTTTTTTTATAAATTAATAGACCATAGATGTGTGGTTTTATTTCTGGGCTCTCTATTCTGTTCTTTTTTTTTAATGCCAATACTATACTATAGTATTGTACTGGAGTATTATAGCTTTGTAGTATTAGTTTGAAATTGGAGAGTGTGGTACCTTTGACTTTGCTCTTCTTTCTCAAGACTGCTTTGGCTCTTCAGGGTCTTTTGTGGTTCCATACAAGTTTTAGAATGATTTGTTCTGGTTCTATGAAGAATGCTATTGACATATTGATAGAGATTGCTTTGGGTAGTATGAACATTATTTATGATAGGCCAGATATGGAAACAACCTGAGTGCCTAAGTGCCCATCTGTAGGTGAATGGATAAAGAAGATGTGGTGTATATGCGTATATACATTGGAATATTAGTCGGCCATAGAAAGAAGGAAATCTTGGCATTTGCAACCGTGTGGATGGACCTTGAGGGTACTACACTAAGTGAAATAAGTCAGACAGGCAGACAGATACCTCATATGATTTCACTTACGTGTGTAATCTAAAAACCCAAACACAGGAACACACAAAGCAACAGAACTCATAGATACTGAGAGCAGATTGGTGACTATCAGAGGGGAAGGGGGTTAAGAGGGTGGATGAGACGGGTGAAAGGGGTCAACTGTGTGGTGATGGATGGTAACTAGACTTATTGTGGTAATCACTGCAGTGATACAGAGATTGAATTATTATGCCGTAGACCTCAAGCTAACATGATGCTATATACCAATTTTGCCTCAACTAAGAAAAAAAAAAAAGAGTGCCTAAGCAGGCACACTGTTTTGGTTCACAGTTGTACTTACCTTTCACGGAGAATTTTTTTTTCTGTAGAAAGGAATTTTCCTTGGGCTCTTGTAGTCATCTTGTTCTACTTTTAGTAAGGAACAGCATTCCTAAGCTTTACTGTACTTAACCTTTATTATTACATGGTGGTAAAATAGAACCTCATCTACCAGTTCTGGAATTTCTATGTAAATTTTTAGCTTACTGCCATCCTTTATAGAACAAGGTAAATAAACATAGACAGTTATCTATGAGACAAAACCTCTTACACCGACAGCTGATTATCGTTTGTGATTGGGTCGTGAGGAGGGGGCTGCTCTCCCGCTGGGCCCCTGCGTCCCCTTAGGGGTGTTAGTGGAAGCTTCAGCTTGGCCTTCTGCACGAGGGAGCTGCTCCCCCGGCTTCCCGTCGGCTTTCAAGCGATCACACTTAGGCTCTGGCTCATCCTCGTGGTGGAGGTTGCCTACTGGGGGGATTGGACGACGATTCTGAAAAGTAAGCTGATGGGGCAGGAGAAGATTCTCCGGGATACAAGGCTCCAAAGGGCTCTGACAACATGGGGAGGGAAGGAATGGAAAGAGAGGGGACCCGATATTCCTGGCGTCAGGTATTAGTTTAAAGTGAGCGTGACCTTGATTTATAAAGAGTGTGCAACTTGATGCTTAATAGAATTGGGTCTTTCATATTTATGCCGCATTATGTAAATGTTGCCCCTCCAAGTGCTTTCTTAAATCCTCTTAGGGTATAAATGACAGCTTTGATTTCTTTTAGAAAAATCTTTCATTTATCCGGCCTAAGAGTAACAAACAATAAATGCTTAGTGCCCTCTTTCCCTGTCAGCCCCCCAAAGATTGAGGCTTACATTCTGAAGAGTTGATTGCTGCGCTTTTGAGCTTATTAAGGCCATCTGCAACTTAAGGGGTGGGACAAGCTGATGGTGCATTATTGGTGCCAAGGCAGCTCCTGGAATTCTGCACGGCACGCCCACTCAGCAGTGCTCAGTAGGTAAGGTGAAAATACGGTCTTGCAGGAACTACACACGTGGCCCATTTGGAGTGATTAGTGCTACTTCTTCTACTGATCCAGAGTGTTGGGGAATTAGACTTCAGCCTAAGTGATTTTGCATTAAATTTCTGCTGAAGGGCCTAAGATCGCAGGAGTGGAGTGGGTGTGAGCTAATGAAACTACCTGTTAGGTGTTATGAGTCATTTCCCCCATAGCTACTTGGTGACATCCGTTATTTTATGTCTTTATTAAAAATGTCCCCATTCTCTGGGGCCTTCAGAACACACACAGAGAAGAGGGGAGAATTAAAAATTAAGCTTGACTCTGGCCATATGAATCACTGGATCCTAAGGGGATGTCATTTATTCAAGAAACGCTTATGAAGTGCGGCCTATGTGCTAGATCCGCACGTTGCGCTGGAGTAATAAAGAGAAGGACAGCGCCCGTGCCCTGGAGCAGGATTAAGAGTGCCCTGAGTTTGTGACTGGAGAACCCTGGAAACCCAAGGAGAGAAGCAGTTTGTTTCAGAAGCTGGTGAAGCCCATGAGAAGCTCTGTCCTTGGGGCAATGTTCCCTGTTTCCTTTGCTGTATTTGGGCCACAGAGAGCCCTTTGAAGTTGGTCAGATGACACGGTGATGTGTGGACTGTTTGAGGATCTCACAGCATTGGCACCACCGAGCTGGTGGGGGAGGGGTGTTTGCTCGCTGATGCAGTGCTCAGACCACCCAGGGGACTGAGGGGAGGGGGGGGGCGTTGTCAGCAGGATCTGAGAGGGTGGGCTGAAATGCAGCATGCAGGCATGCCTTGCTTAGAGTAAAGAAAACAGGCAAGACTGGCTTGGTGATCACTCAGCCATCTGGACTCATCTATCTAGGAAATACCTAAGAACCAAGAAATTTGCAGAAGCAATTGAAGCTTTTATGCGCAGATGCATCCACGCAAGGCCTGTCTACACTTATATAAGCAGATATGGAGATCTAGCTCCTAAACTGCTTTGTGGATTTTTAAAGCAGAAAATTGCAAGGGGAAGAGAAATGTGTATAAAAGGATGGGCCCAGGAACAGTATGTTAAAGTGACAGTTAACAGTTTTAAAGGGAGAAATAAAAAAGATAGAAAACTGAAAAAGAGAAGATGTAATCACGCTAAAAGTACTGCCATCCATTTCGTTTATCAACGAGTGCTTTAGACTCAGGGCAGAGAGTCCAAAGATGTCTAGGGTAGAGGGTGGGAATCTGAAGGTTTGAACTATTTCCCTGGTGAGTTCCACGGAGCCCTGTCTGAGTATTTCTATACCATAGGCAAAAAGGCAATGGATGACCTTCATTCATCAAGAGATGTTCTATTCTGCTTTTAGGAAGACATGTGTAACCTAGCTCTTAAAATATTCCCAACCACAATGTTAAAATTAGTTTTTTGATACTTCAAACATCACATCCTCAGCTCTTTGAAAAACTCGACCTGCCAGAGTGTTCTGTTTCCTGAAAGATTGACATTTTACTGCATGGGGAAGTCACACCAGGTAGAAAATGCTAATTTGTATTGTAAAAAGTCACAGTTACTTTATAAGCAGTAAACTGGTATAGCACTATATAAATAACACTTTATGTATGTTATGCAGTTATAAATTGTGACTTGCAACTTTTCAGAAACATATCCAAACATTTGAATCACTTTGTATCTATCTCTCATTTGCCATTTATTATTGTATTATCTTGTTTGCTAGATCATATATACGACCCATCTTCCTGGACCAAAAAAAAAAAAAAAAAAAAAAGGGGTTCTTAATGTTCCTGGCTCCTTGTACATAGCAGGTCTCAATAAATGCTCGTTGAATGACCAATAATGAAACAAGTGGTGCTGAGCCATCTAATTACTCATTTACTGACCATGTAAATACTTTCCAGTATCCCTTTTCTCTCCCCACTGTGATTACACACTAAAATCTGTATGCCGTGTGAGCTGCACTTGATGATTAGAGTTGCCTGAACCCTTGAACGGCATCCTTGAGCCTTTGCTTTCCCCTTGCTGGTTCAGGGGCGGGAGCCGCACGGGGTGTTGTGGCATAGGCTGCAGACACAGCTCCGGAGTGCGTCCTTGTGGTGGGGGTGGCCTGGCCTCGACGGGGTCACTGTGGTGCGGCCAGGGGCTGCTGGGGAGGCAGGTGTCACGGCTCCCAGAGGGCGCTCACCTGTGCCCGCCTTGTCGTTGGCCGCAGGTGACCGTGGAGGAAGTCATGACCACCACTGCGTACCTGGACCTCTTTCTGCGCAGCATCTCCGAGCCGGCGCTACTGCAGATCTTCCTCCGCTTCATCCTGCTGCACCAGCACGAGAACGTCCACATCCTAGACACTCTCACCAGCCGAATCAACACCCCGTTTCGGGTAAGATTTCAGGAGAGTCTCTTTTTGGAGTAAGATTATGTATATTCTCTTTCCTCTCTCCCCCTTTTTATTTCTTGCAGCCCTTGCCTTTTCTATCTTGGAACTAGATGATGCATCTTGTTATTAGGAGCCCTCTTGTCAGGCGCTGACGGCCTTTCGTAGGACATTTTTGTCCGTCCGCCTGGACTGGCACGTCCTGCTGTGGGACCAGCAGACTGCACTCTGGGGAGGCCCAGTGCGGGGGCCGCGGGGGCGCGGTGCGGGCGGAGCCGGGAACGAGAGCGTGTCCGGTCCGGGCAGAACGTATAGCTATAATATGTAACAATAATAGCACAAAAGGGGGTTAGAAGGAATAGAGCTATCTCTAGGTCACTGGCACTAATTTAGTATAAGTCTGAAGTAAAATCTAGTAAGTTAAGGTGTATACGGTAAGCCTAGAGGGACCACTAATAAAATAACTATATGGTGAAAAAAATTATTAAAGGAATGAAAATGTTATACTAGGGAAAATATTCACTCAGTGCAAAACAAGACAGTAAAAGTAAAATAGGAGAACAAAACATCATGAGACATATAGAAAACAAAAATTAAAACAGTAGACAAATCCAGTTATAAAAATAATATTAAATGTGAATAGGTTAAAAACTTAATCAAAAGGCAGAGATTGTCAAACTGTATTAGAAAAGGAGACCCAGCTATATGCTATCTACAAGAGATACACTTTAGATTCAGAGATTGAAAGTTAAGTTCCTAAACCTGAACTGAACCAAATAATTGATAATGCACATAGAATAACCATTTGAAATAACAAGTTAAGCTTATGAGACAATATACTTACTCTAAAGATAAAAGCTAAAATACGTACTATAGTTTATAAAACTGCACAGTGTTGGTCAAAGAGTATAAACTTCCAGTTATAAGATGAATTAGTTCTGGGGATCTAACATACAGCAAGGTGATTATAGTTAACACTATTGTATACAATATGTTATATATAGTATTACCATAGTAACCCTTTCAGATCTATGTCTGGAGTGTTTAGCATGGTGTATTGGTCTTTTTGTCACTGAACTGTAGGAGTATACCGAGAATGTGTATTCAAGCTATCAGTTCTACAGGATTTGATTAGGAAGTCAAAGCAGGTAATTAAGCCATTCTGCAGAATTACCCTCCTACAAAATGCCATGTGCACCTATTCAGCTTATGAAGATCCAGACAAACTTGCCCATAAATTCCTTAAGTGGACTGATAAAATGATAAAATCTTACTCCTTAAAGGGCATGACGATTTTATAATATACCTTTGGGTTTCTTTCCTGTTCATCTTTCCATTTGGAAAATCAGAGTGAAAGAAGTCTTGCTTTTTTTTTTTTTAATGAACTTCTAGAAAAGTATATTATCACACCCTGAGCACCACTGAAAATGGAACCGAAGAGAAGGTTTGCCCCAAAGCCCAGAGACAGGGCAAGAGGAGCTGAGGCTTGGGGCTGAGGACTCCGGAGGCAAAGTTGGCCAGGGTACATACAACTTCCTGTTAGCCCTGTCTTGTCGATAACTAATGGCATATTTGAAAATAACTTACGAAAACAGGTGACAAGCAGAGATCTCATGTGTGCCTGCACATCCATGCATAAGTATGTATTGGAGAGTTGTAGAGGTGTCTTTATGTGGATCTTAAAAAGTTGGAGATAGGAGCGAGGCATCTTATAGGAGGGTAGTTCTGCAAGATGGTGCACTCCCAGGCTTGGTCCTTCTAAGCCAAGCCTCTAGGAGAGCCGATGGCCCGGGTACACCTTCCCCCTGGCAGCTGCCTGCTTCTTATCAAACCTGCTGAAGAGAAGAGGCCATTTTTGTTTTGTGAGTCTGATGTATTTACCATCTGTGGAGAGCAGAGCCGTCCTTCCAATATCTGAAACAGAATGTGTCTGTTGCTCTTCAGCTCTGTGTGGTGTCCCTGGCATTGTTTAGAACTCTCATCGGTTTACACTGTGAAGATGTGATGTTACAGCTAGTTCTGAGGTGAGTTGTCATCTTTCGTTCCCTTTGAAGAAATATTCACTCTATACTATTGCTGTTATATATTTCTCTGGTAATATAAGCTGAATAGGGGGCCTTGCTTCTAAGGAAGAAAGTCATCAAGAAAAGCAATTTAATTTATGCATTATTTCCCAAAGTTAATTTTGGTTTTACTGTTAAAAGTTTTCAGGGTGCTAAATGCATTATGTTATAAATATGCTCCTGGAAAGAATAGATAGAATGTTTGGAAATTTTCAAAATTACTATGATCATTCTTCTGGTCCATGGCTTAATGTCTTTTTCCTCACATACATTTTTAGGGGACCTGTGTTATTTGGAAATGCTGTTGGTATCTAATTCCTATGGCACTTGCTTTGGTGATGGTGCACATACAACGTGCATTCTTTGACCTCTGTGTATGGTTCCATTAAATTCAGTAAATATTTAATGAGTACTGTCTGTGTACAGTTGTGAAGGGAGGAAGGTATGGAGTAGATGAATCGCAAAGGACTTACATACAAGGTAGAAAAGGTATGTCCTTCAGAAGTACAGGTGGGAAGGTTTTCATCAAGTGGCTGGTGGTATTTGGTAACAGGTGTTGGGAGTAGGAGAAGATGACTATTAAGGTGATATTAATTTGGTCGTTTGGCAAGGGGACTCAGGAGCCCCAAATCCTGTCTCGGCCCAGGTCTGCCTCTCCTTCTAGGGTCCCTGAGGGCAGCAGCTGTTTTGTAAAGGAAGAAGGGGAGAGCTGGCTGGGCTCGTGCCCCCACACTCCCCTCTGGTGGTGTGGAAAAGCCCGCCGGGGCCCCTGGGCACGCTCCCCACTGGCTCCCCCCTAACTGGGCCTCCTGACCCTTCCTCCCTTTGGGAATGAGAGTGGAAGAAGCCCGAGCAGGGGGACGAGGGAGGAGACTTGGGCTGTCCCTGGTCCCTGTGGGTGTGTTGACACGTTGAGGGTAGAGTTGCCAGGAAGATGGCATTCCCAGTAGGTGTAACAGCATTTTGAAAGTGGTAGTCATGGAAAAGAAAGGGGATGGCAAAGTGTCATCATGGGGACGGGGACCGCGGCGGCGGCACTGCCCGGGAAGTAGTTAGAAACGCACACTCCTGGCCTGCTCCCAGACCTGCCGATTGCGCGGCTGGGGATGGGCGTGTTTCCACAAACTCTCCGGGGACCCTGGAGCCTGGCTGCCTTTGAGAGCCCCTGGCTGAAGGATGGTGTCCTGCGCCTGAGCTCCCTGCAGAGGGGGTGACGGCGAACAGGCTGGGAACAGGCTGGGAACGATGGTGGTGGCATCATGGTGGGGGCCGCACAGAGCCACCCTTCTGTGGGAGAGTGCCACCTCTTCATTTTCTCAGTTTAGAATGAGTTTTTGGATTTTTCAACAGTCTAGATCAGGTCGTCAGCAAGGTGTTAGCCAAGAGCAAACCCTGTCACGAGTGGATGCCTGGGGTGAGCGTCGGTTGTCTGACCTAGAAGGGCTGCGTTAGCTCCGTGAAGCCTCTGCTGCTCTGACAGGTGCATGAGCCAGGCCGGCATGAACTCCATCTGGGCGACTCGTGAAAGCCATCTCTCTTGCCAAAAAAGAGACTTCGCCTCCAACAAGAGTAAAACCCGATTATGTTTAAATGTTAAACTCTTGAATACTGCTTCTTGGATGGCGTGAAACACAGATGTGTTTTTTAGTGTGCCTGGAAGCCGGGCCCTGCTCAGGCGGAGCAGAGTTCCTGATGCTGGGTCGTCAGGCCAGGCTAGCCTGGGCGGTGGAAGCCGGCTGTTTACCTTTACAAGGTGACCTCTCATCACCTTTGGTTTGTTTACAAAGTGGCATTTGTTAAAAACTGTCCTTAGAGATAGTAGTTAAGGCTTCATTTGAAATGCAGATCTGTACTTCCTGAAGGGGAAGAAATCAGCGCCTGGGTGAAATGTTTACATGTTCAAGCCAGGACTAGTTATTTCCAGGGTGAGGACTGGTAATTTCCTAGGAATTACCAGGAAGATGCCTGAGGGACACATTATCACGGGTTCTGAATAATGGGAAAACGGCAGACGTCACCACCCGGCCCTAAGCTTGCTTTCTTCTCTGTTTCTTTGGGGGCTGGTGATGATGACGATGACGCCGCCTTCTGTCGAATGCTTTGTTTCTGATTCCGCCGCGCTGCCCGGGGCGCCCAGGAGAAGAGCAGTAAGAGGACTCACGCAGAACTGGGGCACGTGGTAGACGCACAGGGAACCGCCACTTCCTGGCCTCTGTCCTCTGAACTGCTGATCCCCCCCTGACCCCTAATATTTAAAAATTTTTTTCATTGTGGTAAAATACACACAAAATTTGCCGTCTTAACTGTTTTTACGCGCACAGTTCTGCCGTATGAAGAACATTCACGTTGTTATGCAGCGATCACCACCATCCACCTCAGAACTGCCTTTACCCTGCAGCACCGATACTGGGTATTTGATACACACTAACTCCCCGCTTCTCCCTCCCCCAGCCCCTGGCAGCCGCCATTCTGTTTCTGTCTATGAATTTGACTCCTCTAGGCCCCTTACGGAAGTGGAATCATACAATGTTTGCCTTTTTGTACCTGACTTATTTTATTTAGCATAGTGTCTTCAAGGTTCATCCATGCTGTCCCATGTGTCAGAATTAATTTTGTTTTTAAGGCTAAACACTATTCCATTGTTTACACCACAATTTTTAATCCATTCATCTATTGATGGACACTGATTGCTTCCAGGTTTTGGCTATTGTGAGTAACGTTGCGATGAACATGGGGGTACAAGTATCTCCTAAAGACCCTGCCAGCAATTCTTTGAGTATGTACCCAGACGTGGAATTGCTAGATCATATGGCAATTCTATTTTAAACTTTTCATTGTTTTCTATAGCAGTTGCACCATTTTACATGCCTACTAACTATGCATAGAGCTTCCAGTTTCTCCATATCCTCACCAACATTGGTTACTTCCTTTTAAGAAAATGGATATTTTTAATCAAACAAAAATGAGGCAGATTTGAGGAAGAGCCACCTACATCCCTTAGAAATAAACACTGTTGTTATTAAAATGAAAAACTATTTGGGGGTAAATAGCATTTAAGACACAGATTAAGAGAGAATTAATGAACTAGAAGATAGATTGAGGAAGTTACTAAATTTGCAGCAGAAAAAGAGATAAAAAATATGGAAACAAGCCTGTGAACAGTGGAGGCGAGAATCCAGTGAGAGCCTCAGAGGGAGAGCGAACTGCTGATTGGACGGGACCTATTCTGGTTTTGGAATTTGCTACCTCACAGGGTTTTGGGAGGATCAACTCTGGTGCTATCTGTGAAAATGTGTCGCAAGGCTATAAAGTGTTACACAAATTTAAGGGAGTGGGATTTTCTAGAAAATATATTTTAAAGTAATGAAAACAATGTCTCTTCTGACTTAGGATCTGTACCAAAAGAAAAGACAATGAAAAATCCTTAATCTGTTATTCATTTAAACTTCATCTTAAGGGACATAAAAAAAAAAAAAGGATGTGTAATTCATTCCTTTGTTGTTGCTACTGTTGCCATTCGAATGTATGTGATAAATTTGTAGAACTGGGAGGCAATAGAGTAGTGAAGCTATGTGAATCCTTTTAATGGCGCTGTTATGTGATAAATAACTAACAACCATACACCAGTTTTTGTTGCAACCCAAGTACTCTTAAATATTGACATCTCAGAGTGATAATCCATTTGTAACTGATATGTTTCTTTCATTTAGCAAAATATTAGAAAAGCAAGTTGCAATAAGATACTCCCAAAAGAGTGGCTATTTTAGTGAGCAGAAAACCAAGGAGAAATTGCGCATCTCCTTGGAAGTGACATATGATAGACCAAAGGCAGGCAGGAAATACCGACAGGCAGGGAAGTGACGGATCACCCCCCTGTGCCTGGTGCTTCCCAGTTTGGGCAAAATTTAATTGCTTAATACTCTGAATGCTATTTATGCATATTCTTTCTGGTGAAGGTATTTCTTTCAGAAGTGCTGGTCCATTGTCAGCTATGTGAACTGCATTGCCTGTTGTGTTCAGAGAGGGGCTGTTTTGCCCACAGAGAAGCTGTGTGCAAACTTCAGGAACATTTCCGTTTAGCATGGGAATAGGTGGAGAGGAGCAAATAAAAGCCAGCCAGCCCAGGGCAAGGTGAATAGGAGAAATAGGCCCCTACTGTCTTTGAAAACCAGATGACCGTTTTGAAATTCACCAACATTGCTTTTTAGGTTTTTGCCTAGTGATGCATTATTCAGGTTTTCCTCAGCTCATAAGAAGCACCTTGCTCACGTCATTGTACTTCACTGCTTTGTTCTGCTGGTTTTTATTGTGGATGTAGCGACAGGCAATGAGTATGCTCTGTTATTGACTGGTTGTCACCGCTGATGATTTATTTTAATGAATGACATCCAGGAAAATGGAAAATAGACCTAGGGTTGCAGAGAGTTGGGGAAATAGTGGAAAGAGGGAGGACAAAAGGGACAATATATATTTTTTCCCCCTGCTCTTATTGTGGGATGGCTTCAAGTAATCAGGACTCCTAAAATTAGATATTGATTATTTTGGGATATTTACCACCTTCTGAATTTAAATAAAATCCCCAAAGAAAATATAGTAAAAATGAAAAGATAGTTTGATAACAAATATTTATACCAAATTTCTAACTGATTTTTCTGCTATCGACCACAATTGATATTTGACATTTGAGGAGCTTCTGACATTTGTTCTGTTTCCTTTTTAAAGTTAAAGTATAGTTGGCATGTAATATGACACTTGTTTCCGGTGTACAGCACAGTGATTCATTGTTTATACGTCTGCGCTGTGATCACCACACTAGTAACCGCCTGTCACCTTTTTCACCTGCCCCACAAGGCTCTCTCCCTGGCAACCATCAGTCAGTTCTGTGTTTCTGTGAGTTTGTTTTGTTTGTTCATTTGTTTTGATTTTTTTTTTAATTCAAAATGCAAGCGTGGTCCTATGGTGCTCTTATTTCTGTCTGACTTATTTCACTTAGCATAACACCCCCAGGTCCGTCCATATTGTTACACAGGGCAGGACAGCATTCTTTCCACAGCTGAGTAACAGTCCATTGTGTGCGCGCACCACCTCTCCTTTCGTTGCCCATCCATCGCTGGCCACCCAGGTCGCTTTCACAGCTCGGCTGCTGTAAATGATGCTGCAGTGAACATTTGTTTTGCTTTCTATCTTTCCCTGTAAATGAGGGGAAGGCAGCGGGTCTGTGCGTGGTTTTCCTGCTCTTCCCTCTGGCACAAGCCTTCGTTACAAAGGCGCAGGGGAGGCACTGCATAGACTGCACGAGGCTTATTCATTTCAACGGACTCCCCCACGTCCACTGTGGTGGAACCTCTCCTTCACCCGATAGGGGATCTCCCTTTATTTGATTTACGCAGAAGAAAATTCTTAGTTTCTCCTGAAAGCATGTATTTGCAAAGTTGCAAATTCTCAATACCTCTTTATTCTAACATAATTTCAAGCTACTCACTGGTGATACTTGATAAATAGCTTTATTAGGTTTCATCCAGGGTGGGTGCCATTTTTAAAAATACTTCGCACAAAGAGTAGAAATCTTTGGCTGTATCAGCTTAAGTCATGAAATACTCTTGGTCTGAGCTGTAAGCAGTCATTGAGTTCCTGCAGTAGGTGCAAGCAGTGAAACAGTTTATTCTTAAATAATTAATGATGAGACTAAAGATACAATACATGCTGTGTAATCTGAATTTCCCTAGGCCCCATCAGCCTATGGGAACAGGAGCGCTGACATCAGCAACCCTGGGACAGGCTTCCCCGGCTCTCCTCTGCCCCTCCCCCACGACCTTGGCCCCTGCAAAGCAGCAGCCATGACTTCTGGGGGTTGGTCAGGGTGCGGTTCATTTGTGAACAAGTCTGTCCCCATACGTTGCTGCAGCAGCCTCTGCTGCGGTCTCCTCCCTGGCTGAGGCTGCTCTGGTAGGTGCTGCCTCACCTCCGCCCCTGCTGGGCCCTCGCCCCTCCTGGGCGCCAGGGTGCCATGGCGCTAGAGAGGCTCTGCCCTCCCTTGTGCCCCCGGGAGAAGGCCTCTTTCCCCCGCATCCTTCCGAGTCACCAAAACATCTCTGCGCAGGGAGGCCCTCGTGAAAAGAGCGCCTTCATTTGCTACCCACAGCAGCCGCTCCTCCCCAGCCAGGCTCAGATACAAGTCCCCACAGCTGCACCAGGAATCAGGACAGACCTGCCCCCTTTCCCATCCGGGCCCCTTCACCTCCCCTGTCTACCCCTGTGACTTCTGACCATCGTGAAACTGAACTGACGAAAGCGGGTGTGCTGTGCCCGACAGCAGGGTGTGCCTGGGCCTCAGTGGGCGCAGCTGAGGCTGCAGGTGCGCGTGTCTACCCAGGGGTGTGGGGAGGGCCGCTTGGATGGAGTGCTTGATTGTTTTGGGGAATGGAGGGTTGAGTGACAGACCTGTCACTTCATACCTTGAAAGTTATTAAGATGTTTGGTGGGAAGTACCGGGAAGAGAATTAGATCTTTTCCCTCCACAGCTCAGGCTCTTGCAGCAGGTACGTCGTTAACAAGAACGTAGGTTTTCCTCCTTTGGGTGACCAGATATGGGAGATGGCGTAGCACCTACCTGTAGGCCTCAAGACATACCCTGGGAGCTGTACTTTTTCTTTTTCACTGACTCCTTGATCATAGCTTGTTTCCCCCTACCCTGCCTCTTTCTCTAAAGTCAAGTAGCGAAATGCAGGCATTCTGGTTGACTGAGATCGTGGTTGTTCCTGTAGAATGCAGGTTCCCCCGGAACTGGCTCCTGCTCACATGCGTGATGCTTGGCTTTGGCTGTGGGGGCTCCGTCCCCGTTTTTCCATCCTTGTTAAACAGCGTAGTCTTCTCCGTGTTAGGAAAGGAAGCTGTTTACACCTGGGCCGGTTGGCTCAGTCGGTCGGAGCGTTGTTCCACTGGCAGAAAAGTCACGGGTTCAGGTCCCCCATCAGGGCAAATACCCAGATTGCAGGTTTGATCCCGGCGGCCCTCCCCACACCCCTGGGCAGACACGCGCACCTGCAGCCTCAGCTGCGCCCACTGAGGCCCAGGCACACCCTGCTGTCGGGCACGGCACACCCGCTTTCGTCAGTTCAGTTTCACGACGGTCAGAGGTCACAGGGGTAGACAGGGGAGGTGAAGGGTCCCGGATGGGAAAGGGGGCAGGTCTGTCCTGATTCCTGGTGCAGCTGTGGGGACTTGTATCTGAGCCTGGCTGGGGAGGAGCGGCTGCTGTGGGTAGCAAATGAAGGCGCTCTTTTCACGAGGGCCTCCCTGTGCAGAGATGTTTTGGTGACTTGGAAGGACGCAGGGGAGAGAGGCCTTCTCTCACCTGTGCAAACATAGCCCAGCCCTGGCACATATGAGAAGGCAATCGATTGAGGTTTCTCTCTCACATCGATGTTTCTTTCTCTCTTCCTCTCTCTAAAGAAGCACTAAAAAAATGTCCTTGAGTGAGGATTAAAAAAATAAAAAGTCAGTCATTTAAACACACTTTCTCCTAGCCGTGGAGCCCACAATGCGTTCCACGTGTGTCAGAAATGATTGTGCAGATTTTCTTGTCTCCATGGTTATAATGATACCAAGGTGCTTTTAATCGCCAACCCAAAGCGCCTTGTGTGAAATGGGGCCCGGGGCTCCTCGGCACGTCTTTGGCCCCCTGCATTCTCTCACGGTCACCCAGGAGACTATGAGAGGAGGTTTGCACTAGGCCGTGGTTCCACTCTCCTTCAGTGGCCACTAGGAGTCTGAGTTCCTGGGGTGACATTTCAAAATTATTGAAGGAGGTCCTTGCTCTCTGAGCACATTGCGTTGAGGAGGCAAACACTGAAATAAGACTAAGCAATAGTGCTTTAGTGGAGGCCTGTGAGCACAGTGGAGGGAGAGGGTAGCTCTATCTTGGAGTAGGAGGCCTGGAGGCCTTCCTGGAGAAGGTGGCACGGACGCTGGACTTTGTGTGATGACAAGGCATTTGTCAGGCCCGGAAAGGGGAAAGCACGTCCCAGGTGAAGGTGACAGCGGGTGCAGAGGCATGGAGGCAAGGAGGGACAGTGGGTTTATTAAGAGATGAGGAGGTCTGTGGCGCTTACATGGTGAAGGCCCTCAGATGCTCTGCTCAGGGTTTGTTCTGTCAGAGGAAAGGAGCCCTTGAAAGATTTTAAGCAAGAGAGGGAATGCTGGGGGCTGGCGGGGTGCCTGGGTGGAGAGTGGGGAGAGGGTGGGCCACCCCTGGGAGTATAGCTCAGGAGGCGGCTGACAGGGAGTCGACCCTGTGGAGACTGAAGGTGGCCCTTTTTTATGTCGTTCCAGGTACCTGATCCCCTGCAATCACATGATGCTGAGTCAGAGGTGGGCTGTGAAGGAGAGAGACTGTTACTCTGTGTCCGCGGCCAAGTTGCTCGCCCTGACCCCAGTCTGCTGCTCCAGCGGGATCACCCTGACCCTTGGGAACCAAGAGAGGGATTATATTCTCTGGTCCAAGTGCACGCACGATGGTGCAGGTAGGAACTCCCTGGTTGTGGTCTTTCCACAGAAGGATGCCAGACTCCGCCTCCCCCTGGGAGGGGTGTGTCTTTGAGGAGACAGGGAATAAGACAGTGAGTTCCATTTCTTTCATGAATGTCTAGTTGGGGGTCCTTTTCTGCTTCATAAGGAGATATGGACACTTGGTAATCAGCGTTCATCTTTGTGCCCAGTGTCACTGAATCTGGACCCCCAAGACCTTTACTTTAATGAGGATTTCTAGTGTCGCCCTCAGAATCCAAACGGGAAGACGTGTGCCAGTGCATCTGCTAAAACAAAATAGGGGCAAGGGATGTGGAGGTGGTATAGCTGAGGTAGAATTAGCCCTATTTTACTTTTCAAAATGACCCATTTGTGGATACTTGCCTGTCAAAAATATATCATCGTAAAACTTGAAATTCGTGGTATGGCAACAGTATCTGATTCATTTGATTCACCTAATGAGGGGTGTTTCAGAAACACTCTGTTTTTGCAGGAGTTAGAGCGCTCATGTGCTATTTGCCGGCTGCACTTGATCTTGTACAAGTAAAATTGAAATGGTCACCTCTGTCCGCCCTGGCTCTCCGCAGGCAGCTGCAACAAGGGGGCGCTGGTGTGTATCTGGAGGTCGGCAGGCTGTGGTGGTTCAGGGAGATCCCGCCTGTCCTGTGACCACCGGGAAATGGTCCATCCAGTCCTGGCGTTGACTCAGGCGGCCCCATCTGTGTTCTGATACTCCCCAAGCAATGCCATTCTGCTCATTTGGGTGCACTTCTGTTAGACTGCACATAGGCTGCATGACTGAGAAAGTATCAGCATATTTGGTATACATGTAATTTTTAGAAAGTAGGGTTGTCTTACTGTTTCTTGGTATTTAAAGATACAGTGTATGCATGAAAATTAATCATTTTTTGTGGCAGTATAATAGACTGGATTTTAAATATATTACCCTGTTGGTTAAACTAGTGTGGCTTTCTTATATTTTTCCTACCCAATAGTTATTTTTTAAAAGCATATTTTAAAATTGACATCTTTTTTTTTATTTACTAAAAAAGTTATCTCAAGAACGACTCTGTGGCTGGCCTTGCCGCAGAAGTCAAAGTTCGAGTTACACAGACAACTGCGGAGTGCCTGCAGCTTGCTTTCCCGTGTGGTCACATTTAGTTCTTTGAAGAAGGTGGCATTCCCAGTGTAGAGGTGACGGTCTCAGAGAGAGGGATTGGCTTGTTAAAGTTATCGAGCCGGTAGGTCCTCTGATTCCAAGTTCCAAGGTCTTTCCACTTTGCTGCCTCACAGCAGACAGATGCTCTAATGGGGGGATGTTACACAGGCAGAAGGGTGGGTGGGCGGGCAGGTAGGTAGATGCACAGATAATATAATTATTGTGCAGTGGTTAAGAGCTAGGATTCTGAATCTTGGGCTCTGCTATTTTCCTGGGCAAATTACTTAACATTTTAAACTGTTTCCCTCCTATGTAAAGTAATACCTACCTAAAGGTGTTGTTCCAAGGTTAAGTGACCTTGGGCGTGTAAAAGCTCTTAGAGGACTACCTGGCTTGCAGTAGGTGCTAAATAAATATTGCCAGTATCTTTTTTTTTAAATGTCTTTCTCTTTAAAGTGGATAAGAGATACACACTAACTGTTTAGCAGGTCTGTAAAAAATGGATTATGTCTACCATAATGACCTGAACATGTATAATCTTGAAGGTTCAGTTCTGGGCCAGCCTGGTGGAGATTTAGATAGCGTGGGGACAGGAAGCTTGCCAGGGTGTGGCATCGGGTGAAACAAGCCGGGAGTTGGCATAGGACGCCCTGTGCTTGAGCTGTGGCTCCGCCACTGACTAGTGAGTCAGTGAGCTTTTGTCTCTGAGCCTCAATTAACTTCATTTGTAAACAGAGAAAATATCTGCTGTGTAGGTTGTTGTGAGGGTTAAATCAGACAGCACTGATAAAGCGCCTGCCATGTGGTAGATGTTTTAAGAAAACTGTAGAATATGTATTTTGCCTTGAGCCCTCCCCCCCCCCCATTATGCAGTTGAGAACTTGATAACATTTGGAACATTCTTCCGTTAAAAAGACTATTTGGGAGTGAATAGGACTTTATGCTACGAGACTGTCTGGCCCATGTCAACCCTCGAGTAGTTCCCAGGAAGGCCGGAGTCTACAGGCTTTTCTAAAAACCCCGATTTCCTAGAGAAAATCTCTTCCCCAAATTCATGGATTACGGGCCTTCCACTTTAGAATCAAAGAGAAGTCTCTGCAGTCATGACCTGCGCGTGGCCGCGCTGGATGCGAGGCGAGCCTGAGCTCGCTGCTGCTAGATCGCACCTCCCTCAGGACCACCCCTCATGGCAGCTTTGGGGGCGGGGGAGGCAGCGGTGTCTGACTGGCCGTGATGGTTCCGCATCTCCTGTGAGGGTAGACTTTCTGTTCTCATCTTTCCTTCTTAAAATCTAAGCTCTTTTATTACTCAGAAACGGCCAGAACCACAGTAGCTGGCGAGAGAAGGTCTCCGCAGCCCCCTGAGCCACATCCCCTCCCACTGCCTGTGTTCCCCACCCCTTCTCCGAAGTGTCAGAAGGGGCCCCTCCATTCTGACCTGTGTCTGCCTCCCGCGGCAGGGCCCCTGGAGCAGCCGCGCCCCGAGGCGTCCCCTCCGGCCGCCTGCATCGTGGAGCGCGGCAGAGCCCTGGACATCAGCTACCTGCAGTACCTCTGGGAGGCCCGCGCCAACATCCTCCAGTGCATGCGGGACTGCCGCGCCTGGTCCGCCCTCTACGACGGGGACTCGCCGGACCCGGAGACGTTTCTGCAGAGCCCGACGGAGGAGAGCGCTCCCAGCTCCACCTGCCCCGCGTTCCGGCCGCCGCCGCCGCCCCTCGGGAAGACGGGGCCTCCGCCGGCCACGAGGAAGGACAAGAACCAGACGGACCTGGAGTGGGACGACAGCTACGACACCGGCATCTCCTCCGGGGCGGACGCGGGCTCCCCCGGGCCCTACGACGACCTGGAGAACGCTGGCCCGCCGATGCCGATGGATCCCCCCAAACACATCCAGGAGATGAAGAAGAACGCCATCCTCCGCTTCAAAGGGACCTACATCGAAGAGTCTGACTTTCAGGACGACGTGATGGTGTACAGGCTGTGTGCCGAGAAGGACTCTGAGGATGCCAGAAGTTCACAGGAGGAACCTGCGAGGCCCACTGCCCAGGACCCGGCCGAGGGTCAGAGCGACCCCGTGAACAACGGCCTCCTGCCCAGCCCCCAGCCGGAAACAGACTCAGAGGGGGACCGTAACAGGGACAACTCAGACATGTTTCCAAACGTGTCCAAGGAACCACAAGGGGAGCCTGAGCCTGCAGTAGCCCCAGAATCACACGCAGAGTCAGCACCATGTGTCTCTGAGGCAGAGCACAATTCAGACCTGGTGGATATTGACCCAGAGGGAGAAGACTTCATTGCCCAGTACGACCAAATCATTAAGGAACTGGACTCCGGCACGGAGGGCTTGATGGGACAGAATTTTTCTGCACCTGATCCCTCGCTCCTCACAAATGAGCCAGAGGGAAAGGAAGACAGCAGAGGCGAAGGGGAGGAGGAGGCGGCAGCGAAGAAGGACCTAGAAGAGGAGGAGGATGACTTCGACTCTTTTATAGCGGAAGCCCCTGCCGTAGAGGCCGTGCCGTACCCGTTCGGGGTGAGAGAGGAGGCTGACTTTGCCAGCCACCGGCCCGTGAGGACTCAGAGCATCCCGTTCACAGGTGACCGTCTTAGCTTGCTTTGTGGTTTCTGCTTTTGAAAGTACTTGCACCTATGACCGCGGGAGAGTGAGGCAGGTGGAGGTGAGGAGCGTTGGCCCTTTACCTAGCAGAGGGGTGGAAGGATTTTTGTAAAGACTGGAGGGGCTGGTTTCATTTTTATTTTGTTCTGTCATTCTTGCCAGTGATTGGGGTTTTTTCCCCCCTCAACAGCAAGTTAGAGGTTAAATTTCGCTGTTGAGGAACCTCCCTCGCTGTGCCTGTGACAAGGTAATAGGACTGATGCAACCGCACCAGAAATCCAGTCTCATCATTTAACAGCCTCATTCCCTTTAGTCTATTTTTCTTCTTAGCTTTTATGTGATTTTTTAAAAAGTACATCTCCCAGCCCCGCCATCAGAATGTGCGCCAGGTGCTGGCTTGTTCTCTGCTTTGTCCCCAGCACCTGGGCAGTGACCAGAGCACAGGGAGGCTCTTGGGTTCCTGCTGGGCACACGGCAGAGGCCGCTGGGTTAGTCGGGCCTTCGCCTGGGAGCTCGTTTCTGATAATGCCAAAATCTTGGCCCAAAAATAAGCACAGCAGACCCGCGTGAACTGGAAACTCTACGAAAGAATGGGCGTTCAGTGCTGCACCCCTCAGAGCAGGCACACATCCTGGAAGGGGCAAGGGGACGACGGGGCAGGGTGTCAGATGAGTGGACTGGGGTGAGGGATTAGGATGACGAACGGCGTGAAACATCAGCCAGCAAAGTCTGAATCTGCAGGTCGTGGTGCCAAGGGAATGGCTCAGAGGAGGGTTCGCTGAGCTCAGGGACGGCTGGGCGGGGCCCCTGAATGCTGATCAGGTAGCACCGGAGGTCCCTCAAGGAGGTGGCATCACAGAGGGACAGATGGTGGCCTTGGCGTCAGGCCGAGTGGGCAGCCCTGGCTCGGCACTTTCAGCTATGGGGCCTTGGTGTCCCTGGCCCTCCCCTCTCCCCCATGTGAACTGAATGTCATGCTGGGGGGGTCATTAGATGATCACAGGCAGCCCCCGGCAGCCCCTACTGAGGCTTGTCCCTCCCTGGGCGGGACAGACTCCTGGAGTCAGCACAGGCGAGGCAGCCACACTGCCTGCTGGGCTGCCAAGCAGGCTTACTGCGGGTTCCAGGAGCAAGGCCACCCCCCCCCGCCCCCGCCAATATTTATTCATTTATTTACTGATGCCTGAATGTTTATTTAAACCGGGGAGAAAGCTTTTAATTCCACAATTAAAAGGTTGGAGGTTCTAGTTGAGATAGCATTTCAGTGTGAATGGGTTTTAATTAAAATTCAATCAGTCCATCATAAGTAAAAAGGATTAAACAATCTCAATTTTCCCAGTTGATAAGGGAGGAGGGGCAGGGGCAGAAGTAACGTGCACAGGCCCCAGTTTTCTTGAAGCCCCGCCACCTGGCGGCAGATCCCAGCGGGGTCTGCACTGTCCTCGGGGACATGAGGGCCCCTGGCTAATGACCATCCTTCTTTGGAACGCCAGCTTTCTGATAAAGGAGCTTCATCCCTGGGAAATATGTAAACTGAGGAAACAAAGTATAGCTTAGGGCCAAAAAAAGAAAAAGCTGATACAATATCTTATTAAATAACATCTGTGTTTTGCCTATGATACACCTGAGAGCCAACAAAACAATGCGAGTTTTCTGAAGTATATAGGTAATTTCGACTCACACCTGCCCTTTTCCCCTTTGAAACTGGTACACAGCTTCAGGAAACATCTTGACTCTTTTCATGTCTGAGAGCTTTGTAGCTTCTGCACTTCCGAGCGTGTTCTGCAGTGTTAGGGTTACCTGCCGGGGAATCCGGGTTCCTGCTGAAATGAGCTTGCCTCTCAGAAAAATCAAAGCACTCCATGTCGCTCATCTAATTAATTTTAGTAGCAACCTCTGCTTGGCAGGTTCTAGGCTGGGTACTAAAGACACAAAAATGAAGGTGTTTGCAGGCTTTTAGAGGTGATATCAGTGCAGAATCGTACTCTCTTACTGAGCAGTGCACTGCTTGCTAGTCACTGAATGCCGGGTCCTGTGGGGACTCAGGGCGGGGCGTCAGGGAGGCCTCACGGAGGAGGGACACGGATGGTGTGGGTGGAGCCAGGAGAGTGCCCGGCACAGTGGTCCCGGCTGGCCGAGGAGGCAGCGGGCAGAGGACAAACGGGACTGACAGCGCACGGGGTCTGACAAGGCGTGGCTGTGTGGGCAGCTGGGGGGCCTGCGTGAGAGGGAGAGGAAGCCGGAGAGCTTGGCGCGTGCCGGCCTACGGGGGACCTTCGGGCCCAGCTGGGGACCTCGTGCTGCTGGCACTGAAGATGCCCTGGAAGTATTAGAGCTGGCAGGGACGTGCCTGGGTCCGCGTGTGAAAAGGCCGGTCTTGGAGCAGCAGGGAGAGCCCTGGGTAGGGTCAGGGCGGGGCCAGGAAGGTCAGGTCAGAGACTGCTGTCTTGGAGCTGGAGTTCTGAATGCACCAAGGCTGGGACCGGAACTCGGCTTCCAGGAAGTTTCACATTTATGTGCCAACGTGTGTATTCAGAGATGTTCATTGCAGCATTGTTTGTAATGGGAAAGGGCTGTAAACAGCCGCTGTCTCCCAGGAGGAGGCTGTTGTAGTAAAGCGAGTCCCACAGCAATTGGGTATCTTTTTGCCCTGAAATGAATGTAAGAGCTCTGTGTGTGCTGCTGAGGGACAGTCTCCGGGAAGTATTGTTAGGTGGAAGAGCAAGATGAGAAGCAGTGTGTACAGAATGTCATCACTGAAAAAAAATGCCAGGAGACAGACAGGCGCGCGCGCACACACATATGTGCACTCTGACACCCCTGAGAGGCAAGATGGTGTGCTAGTTAAGAGTACAGGCACCAGAAAGAGATGGTCTGAATTAAAGTTGGGGCTCTCCCATTTACAAGCTGTGTGTGCTTTGCATTTCGCCTCCTCTTTACATGGGGAAAAATAATAAACATACTTTGTAGAGTTGTGAGTATTTAAGTAAGTTGATACAAGAGTAAGTGCTTAGAACACTGCCTGGCACGTAAGTGACTAATAAATGCTTGTTAATAATAAGTCAATTATTATTTAATTATAGACATAAAACATTTCTGGAAGAATACACTGGACTCTCTTCAGAGGAATTGCCTCCAGGGTGGAGGCCTGTTGTTTACTTTATACTCCTGTTTGAAGAAAAAAAAATAAAATCATTTCACTCTCTATTAAAACAAAGAAGCTGTTGTTGAAGTCCAGACGAGAAGGGATGAGACCATGACCTGGGGCAGTGCTGGCAGGGGAGGGGGAGGTAAAGGACCGCACCGGGAGCGATTTCCACCCTGGAAGTGGCAGAGCGGAGGACAGGTTTGGTGGCAGCTCCGATCCAGGAACCACAGGGCGGGGGGCGGGGGGTGGAGCGCATGCTGACGTCCGGGAAGGGGGCACTGGAGGAGAGAGAAGTGCATGACAGGGAGGGACAGTGGAGAGCGTCTTAGTTCTGAAAAGTTAAGTATGTTACGGCTGCGGAGTTGGTCTGTCCTCCTAGAAGAGAAGGGAAAATACACTCTCCATCCTCCATACACACCTGTGGCTTTCTGAATTGCAGCTGAGTTTTCTGATTTTCAGCGGCTTACCAGTTTCCCTTAGCAACTGTTGTTTTTTTTTTAATCCTCACCCAAGGACGTGCTTATTGATTTTAGAGAGAGGAAGGGGGAGAGGGAGAGAGGGAAAAGCATCGATGTGAGAGAGAAACATTGATCGGTTGCCTCTCATGCACACCCCAACTGGGAACCAAATACACAGCGCAGGCATGTGCTCTGATGGAACCGAACCTGTGAATCCATGCGATGATGCTCCACACCAGTTAGGGCAGCAACTGCTTTTCGCTGTGAAGTTTTTTTGTTTTTTTTTTTTTTAAGTAGTAGAAATCAACTAAGTATAAAATGGGAATTTGCAAGGGTTTAATATATATTTCTTGTTGCACATGGCAAAGAAGTTATCATGAATGTCATCAGTGGGCTATGATGACAGTCTTCTGGCCTCGACCTAAGTGATGGCAGTCTGCACAGGTGTGGGTTAAACTGGCTTCCTTTCTGCCCTCGTAGCGGTGACGGACTACAGATTATCCTCCTCCGCCCACGGCATGGCCAGCAACTGCCGTGTGGCAGGACGGCCAGATGAGGCCTCGGTGCCAGGGAAGTCGAGGGCTCATGTGAAGGCCGCATGTGTTACAGGAGACTCTACCCCCCATGTATGGCCTAACCCACCTGCCTGTCCCCTCCGCAAGGACATGGATGCTGAGCCTGGGACTGCAGAGGAGCGGGCGGGAGGGGCAGGGGCGGGGCTGAGTCTGCACTGTGGAGGGCGAGGGCGGCAGCCTTCTTGTGGGTCTACCTGGAAAGCTGGAATTGCACAGTGACAGTTTAAGGAGAGTTACTGGAGACATTTCTGGTGTTCTCGATGGAACCCCCTCAAGTTGTTTTCAAACTGGGGTTCCAATCCAGAGTTTCTGAATACGCTTGGCAAACTCTGCCTGTGTTGTTTTGCAAGAAAGGGCTCTGCACAGGCTGTCTGTGCCAGGAGCTCATTGACCTGCTGGGTCGCGGAATGTGACGGAGGAACCCCAGCCCCCATCTCAAGGAGGGGGTTAGTTCTCTTTCCTAAGTTCGGCACATGATGTGCCTTTTCTGTGTTTCGAGGCCCCTTAGAGACATGCTTTGTGGCCTGGCAACAGGACTATTGCCATTACCCCATTACTCACCTGCTGGGTGAGAGGGTCCTGTTTGGTGTTCCATTTCTCGTTACCAGGGTTTCTGAATGAAGCATCTTGTGATGAAGTGTGGTTTTGATAGACTCATATTAGCGTTGGTGACATCTTCATAAGACATGTCTATCCATCCAGGGATGTGGGCTTTGTTGTAAAAATACTGTGGCGTAGTGGCCTCCCCAAAGCTCCACTGGGGGAATACAAAGTCCTCATTGATTTTGTTTAATGGGCCACTTTTATGGTAAAAATTGAAAACATCTTCCAGTAATTTTATTAATGCCAGATTAATTTTCTTGATTTTTTTTCCCCCTGTCTTCATTGAACTCAAACATAAAGTGTATTAATTTTCTGGTGACCCAAATTAGTTAAAGCTCTTTTTTTCTTAATATTTTTTTTATGAACTGTTTTTTTTTTAAAATGAGATATGGATTTTCTTTTTTAAGGAACCGAGGACCTACCAAACTCTCTCTCTGCAGACCAAGTCCCTTCCCTCCCCTCCTCCCATCTGAAAAGTGAGGCGTGGCCACCAAGCCGCTCAGGGCTGCTAAAATCACAGCCCGGCCCCGCTGGTCGTTGTGTGTCCCTCCTTGCCCTTCCACATCATGACATTTGACAAGACAACCTTGCTCGCAGTGCTTGTTGGGGACAGACAGTCCCTGTCCACACTGTTACTATTTGATAGACATAGTTCACGTGTGTTTGGTGTTTTTTCATAACAAAGATTTTTCGTTGTCACCCTCTGGACGGCCCCCAGGGCGTGCAGGCCGCTCTCCAGCACGCAGGATCACGAGCTGATAAAGGTCATGGTTTTGAGCCCTGGCAGCACCAAGAAGTACAGAAGCAGGAGAAGTATACTTTAATTTTAAAAACTACATTGTTTGTCCAGGTCTATGATACTCTTCCGAGTGTTAAGGCTGCTCCGGGAGTCGAAGCACTGGCTCCCACGCACATGCCCTGCTTCCTTTGTGTGGCTGCGGTCTGTCTGTTTTGGTCTGAGGCAGGGGAAGATGGGCTGCCTTTCCTGGGTCTGGATTTGCCTGGTACCTGCTGGGGCGCTGGGAAGGGAGCCGTGGCCCCAGGGCCCAGCCGGCCCTGAAGCCCTATATTCCTTCCCGCAGGCCCCTTCATCAGCGTGGTCCTGTCGAAGCTGGAGAACATGCTGGAGAATTCTTTGCACGTGAATTTGCTGCTTATTGGAATCATTACACAGCTGGCCAGCTACCCCCAGCCTCTCCTGCGCTCCTTCCTGCTCAACACCAACATGGTCTTCCAGCCGAGCGTCCGCTCTCTCTATCAGGTGCGTCAGCTCGGCCCGTGTCCTTACCCGTGGACCTTAGGGGTGCTCGTGGGCGGGGCTCCTCCTCTTCCCCTGTTATTGCATTGTTTTAAAAAAATTCCTCTAGTCCATTTGCTCTCCTTTCTCATCCCACATCACCAGTTGTGTGTAGATTATTCTAGACGAACTGCAAAGCTTCATTTAGTTGGATGTTTCCAGGGTGCCCTACCAAAACACCCTGGCAGTTAAAAATGAACAAACGCCTTGTGTGATATAGTTCCTGTAAGGGGGGCTGGCCCTGAAACATAGATTGACAACTGAAGGCGGGATTCTGTTTGAAGCATTAACGTCATTAATGTTGTTTCTGACAGGTCCTAGCATCTGTGAAAAACAAGATTGAACAGTTTGCCTCTGTGGAGAGAGACTTCCCAGGACTCCTCATACAAGCCCAGAAATACCTGCTCTTCCGAGTGGACATGTCTGATGTGACACTTGAGTCACTAACCAAAGGTGAGCCAGGTTTCTCCCTTGCGTCTCTCCTTTACCTGCCTCCCGGTTTGGGGTCAAAGATGCTGCATAGGCTCCTGGGCTCTAAAAGTATCTAAATGTTCAATGCATTTTCTTTTTACCCAATAGTGAGGAGCCTCCTTCTGTTGGTGTGGGAGAGCCGAGAGAAGGGTGTAGGTGTGCCTTGCCCACACCCGGCCTGCCCTCACTTCGGGGGTCTAGTGGGCATTTTTTTCCCTGAGAGTGACGTAGGGAAGGATTGATGTGTGCGTTGGTGCCAGGCTGGAGGGAATAATGGTGCCCGTGGGTCAGAAGGAGGCATTCCGTGCGCAGCCTGAGCCGATTCTGGGCCTGCGCTGCCCTGCCCTGGAGAGGACGTCTGTCCTCTTCACCATGTTTTCAGACTCTTGGACCCAAAATAAATGTGCTTTAGGGCTCTAAAAAGTAAAGCCTGTTCTTTGGGACTGGGCAAAGTGTATGCTCAGCTTAAAATTCCCGAGAGTGACTTTTCATCAGCTCAGGAGGCATCTGGCCTGGCCAGGCCAGGTGGGCGAGGGGGGTCTCAGCAGGAGGGCTGAGGATGGTCCTGCTGGCTTGCTAGGCCTGGGGCGGGGGTGGGGGGCGCGTGCGCTATGCCACTTTGCTTAGTTTAAACTCAGCGTGGACGGCTTGAACGGCCGGTTGTCCTCCAACCTATGACCTTGGCCTTGGTGAGTGGAAACCAGGAAATGCCCCTGTTGCCCCCGTGTTTGCTTATCTCGAGACAAGTCAGGTTCCTTTGGGGCAAGTGACCAGGTGACCAATGGCAAGAGTGGGGCTCTCAGTGCTGGGCTAAAGGCATATGAGAGAAACTGGCTTTGAGAGGCTAAAATGTAACTCAAGGTAATGGTTAAACCTTTAAAGGAAGCTGAAGAGAGCCTGGGACTCAGAAGGCTTGACCTTGCCTTTGTGTAGCTATTTGTTCTTAGTCACTTTGCCTCCGGGGCCTCAGGTGTCTTGACTCTTAAGTGAAGGATTTGTTTTCCATCTCTGGAGTCAGAGCTCTTGGGGCGTCGCAGGGCGGATTTTGCAGGAATGATGGGCCTTGGTGGGGAGGGAGTCAGGGTCGGGGGGCGTGGAGGAGGCAAGGCTTCCAGCGTGGGCCCTGGAGGAGAGCAGGCCGGCCGTTCATGGAGGGAGAGGAGCCCGCATCTCCATGGGAAGGTAGACGGCAGGCCCGCGTGGCCTCTCCAGCCACCTGGACAGTGTTCCTCCTGAACAGGGAGCGGGCCGCCCTAACTGACCCCGTGGGAGAAGGTGCGTCAGTGAGCTAGCCTCTGAGCGCAACAGGCCACCACACCAACAGGGGCGTAATGAAACCATTTGTGAGGTGCTGGGGGCCTGCGGCTACGTGGGCGTTCTGACCTGGGCCAGGCTCGGCTGATTTTGGCCCGTGTTGCTGCTGTCAGCTGGAGGCTGGATGTCTGGGGTGGCCCCAGTCACGCCGGTGGCTGCTGGGTGGGTGGACGGGGTGATGGGGGGGCTGTGTCTCTCATCACCCAGCAGGTTAACCCTGCTTGCCAATGTCACGGCCACAGGGTTGCAGAGTGAGAGCAGGAACATAAAAGATGGTTTGTGGCTCAGAAATTCTGCTGCCTTCTGTTGGCAAAAGCAAGTCCCTGGGCCAGCCCGGGTTCAAGAAAGGAGTAAAACCCCCACCTCTTGGGGGAAAGAGCTGCAAAGAATTGTGGCCATTTTTGCAGTCCACCAGATGGGAGGTGACTTCAGTGCCCTTACATGGCACCCCTGGCTTGGTCCTCACTTGCACTTTAAAATTTGTAAAGTGCTTTCCCAGACGGTTGATTTTTATTTTCAAACAGCCCTGCATAACGGGCAAGAAAGGTGCTGCTGGGTTCACTTTTGTATCAGGAAGCCGACATCAGGGGCCCAGGTGGTCAGACAAGACCACGTAGCCCAGGTGCCCAAGACCGTCCTGCCCGGTTCACAGGGCCGAGCGCCCACCCACTGGCTTTGGGGGCTTTCCTTGACGAAATGTCCCTGACGCTTTGTTTTCTGGCTTCAGACTGTCTGATGGCTGTGGCTGCCAGGCAGGCGCTCGGTGGAACTCGTTCCTACCATGTGAGGTTGTCAAGTCAGCCACCTGTGGCTGATGCTCTTGAAAGTCTGTGGCACTCAGGGGACTTTAACTTGCAGGGCTTCTCTTGGGAGAGATGACTTGCCTTTTGTGCACCCCTTCCATGTTAACTTCCTGACTTCCTTCAGGTTAGCAGGGCGACGCCCTCCCCTCAGCTTGAGAAGAGTCCAGACTCACAGGAGAGAGCGATTCCTGTGCCCTTGTGCATGCATGCGAGGCGACTGCCTATAAATGAATCAAATCTAGGAGCCCCATTCTCATGGGTACACAGGACAATTTGTAATTGAGAATCCTGGTAAAAGGCCAGCGACCAGGGTTCCAGCGACTGCGTGCTGTGGGCTTTGTCTGACGTTGCTGATGGGAGAGGCATGTGTAACGATTTCCCTCCTAACTTCTGAAGTCTTCCCAGTATCAGTATTGAAAATGCTGTTGCAGCTTTTCATATCCTAGGCAACATGTCAGAAAACCACCCCCACGCTGACGTGGATTTGTGCTTCCCTTGCGTCAGCCCTCTGAGCAGGTGCGAGCAGGTGCGAGCAGGTGCTTGCCGGCACTTGGGCCCACAGCCAGCTCTGCTCCGGCTCACAGGCCCGGCGGTCTCGGCCTCCTGGCGGCGGGGGAGGAAGAGAGCCTCCTCACTAACCCTGCGACAGAGGCGAGGGTCCACATGATGTGACCGCCGCTGCACAGCCGGGGGCCTCCGGTGCCAGTGATTACATCATCACCCTATCTTTGCGGCTCAGCCACTTGCCCGGCTTTTCATTTTCCCCTTGAGCACTTTCTGAGTCCCTGAGGTTGTATTTATATTCAGAGCTCTTTCCCTGGCCTCCAGTTCTGGGAGGGAGGTGAAGTAGGTGTTAATCCCATTTTACAGAAAAGGAAACTGAGATGTTCTATGATAAGCCTGTTGCCAGGCAGCGCCCATGACACTGGTTTTGTTGCTTTCGAGTTGAGGCCGTGCTCCGCGGGCTTTGGGACGCGCTGGAGGCGATGACTCCCCCGCAGGCCGCATCGCGGCGCCGCCTGCTCTGCTGCCTTCCCCAGTGAGGACAGTGTGCGTCTCGGGTTCAAGCTGAGCACATGAGCCTCGGCGGTGACATTTTTTAAGTTCATGGATCAGGCTAGCTAAATGGTAAATGAGCCACGAAAACCCTTGTGAGGGAAAAAGAGGAGTGAGCTTGAAACAGAAAGATGGACATAAAGAATATGAACCAGCTCCAGGGAGACCGGGTATAAGGAAGACCTGGCGTTGGTCAGTTTCTCCTCTCATTCCTTCAGCAAATGTTTGTTAGCTTCTACCATGAATAGGGAAGAGTGCTGGGGCTGCACAGGGGCTCAGTTCTCAGAAATCTCAGCCGCTAGAGGAGGAAAAGCATAAGCAGCTGCACAGGCTAAAGGGCAGGGCGGGCGTCGGTTGGGAAATAAAATGGGGTGGGAGGCTAAACGGGGAATTCCCTCCCGGGGCAGGAGTGTGGAGTCAGGGGCAGCTGAACTGATGGTGACACGTGGCTGATGCTTATCAAGACGTTCCTGTGTGGGTTATACCTATTGGCTCGTTGAATCCTTACAACACCTCTATGAGCTTTGCACAGGGGAGGACATTAAAGGACAGAGAAGTAAAGCAACTTGCCCGATGCTGCTCAGCCAGTACATGGCAGAGCCTGGGCTCTTAGCCACTGTCCTGGTGTCTCTCAGCCAGTAAGGTGTGGGCGAGCAGAGACGTGGCGGGAGGCGGTTCCAGCTGGGGGACCAGCATGGACAGAGCGGACCTCGGTCTGGGATTAGTGCCTGCGGGCCCCATTCCCCATCATATCCGGGACCCTCTGGAGAAGGGCACTGCTGGAGGGCTGGGGAGGGTGGGCTGAGGGTGCGCCCTCCGTGGTGGGCGAGTGCACTTCAGTGACGTCAGCGCTGTGGTCCTCACTCTAACGTCAGGACATGCGGTGGGTTCCTGCGGAAAGGTGGCAGCAGACAGATTCTCAACAACTCCAGTTCCTCATGGCACGAACTGTGATAAGCTTTCGTCTAAGAGGATATTTAAAGCAGTCGAGTGAAGGATTTTTTTTTTAACACTGAAGCTATAGTAGTGAGATATGGAAAGTATTATAAATGTCAAGAATTTTTAGTACTGTAGTTAAGCGACACTCTGAGAAGAGTGTTAAAAAATGGGGCTGAATTCTGAAAAGCTGCCAAAATAATGAAGAGTTTGAATATCATGATTTATGAGGAGTAATGAGACTGGTGGAGTAGGGGGCAAAAGAAGGCAGAAATAATTCCTATATTTACAAAAGGCTGGAGACGTTCAGGCATTAAATGGTCTGGAAAGTTGAACCATTTTAATTAGTGAATCTGCTTTGATACAAAAATGCAAATTGCTTGAATAGGGTCAAGTTTGGGCTGATAGCACCTTAGACCCATGTTACTGAAACTGAGATCAAAACCCCTGGAAACCGTCCTTACATGGCGGCTTCCAAGCCCCCTGCTGCCTCTAGGTGCCCGCAGTTACAGGGAGAGCCCAGCCCGGCCTTACCAGTGCCCAGCTTCCTCTCCATTGTTTCCAACCTTTAACTGGCTTCTTCTGTTCCGTGCTCCACCAACGGCCGGAGGCCGAGGCCAGAATGGGCTGGGGGGCCACCACGGAGCCCTCGAGGCCGGGGCAGGAGTGGCAGAGCGCCCGGCGCGGCTCGTGGGGCCCAGCACCCCCCCGCCCCCCGCAGCGGTGCTGTGTGATCAGGGCTGTGCGGGCACAGGGGCCGGCGCCCGACACCGGCAGGTCGGGCGAGCAGGCGGGGCTTCGGGAGGCCCAGTGACCATGGTGGTGAGCCACTCCTTCACTTGGGTGACACAGGGGCAGGAGATGCCTTTGTCAGGGTTTCCCATCCACATCCTGGGCACGGAGGCTCCTGAGAGACCTCAGTTCTCATCACGACCTCTGCACCAGGCCCCTTCTACAGGCTTTGGGATGCCAGTCTCGTATCACCCGCCTTGTGCTGGAGGTCGCCTGCTGGGCAGGATCTGTGTGCCACCGAGCCGGCTAACGTGCGTGCTCAGGGCTGTGCCTCCAGCCGCCACCTCCCCTCCAACACACACTTAGGAGGGTGCTGTAAAGCGCTGTGGAGGGTCACCCTGACCGTCTGCTTTCTCGTTTCAGATTCCACTCAGGATGCTTCCAGGACAGGGACTGGCAAGAGCCTTTTGGATGGTCCGCCAAGGGTGCTTCAGCCCTTCCTGACGAACAGAGCCAAGGCAGCCGGGGTGCCCCCCAGCCTGCCCCTGCCGGTGAGGAACACCATGCTGGCTGCGGCGCTCTTCCCGGAGTTCCTGAAGGAGCTGGCCGCCTTGGCCCAGGAACACTCCATCCTCTGCTACCAGGTCCTGGGCGACTTTGAGGACTCCTACTGTTAGGGTTTTTTAAAAAAAGATTTTAGTGTCTTGACTGAATGTTAAATGCAAAGCTGCTTACAAAAATTTCTACTTTGATATTTCCTGATAATACTTGATTTTGGGGGAGGGGATTTTCTCTACACCTCCTCTCTCTCTAGCCGGGTCTCTCCACCCTGCGTGATGTAGAATGTAAGTCTCATAAGCTGGTTGCTCCTTTGGCAGATTCTCTTTGCTCAATTTTTCCCCCTCAGATTTTTTGATTGCTACTCTCCCATCCCTTTGAGTCAGCTCATCTTGCAGTGTAGCTCACACCAAGCGAATGTTAGGGCTCAGTCTTTCTGGAAGTACCCTGTGTCCGAAGGTTGGCTCTTCAAGGGCATGTGTAGAAAACACATCTGCTCCTGGTGCCTCCTGCATTTTGGCTTCTGTTTCATAAAAGGGAAGAGTAGCGCTGGAGCCTCCCTTGCCTCCATCATGTAAGTGTGTATCTTGTGTCCCTTTGCATTTTACATCCAAGACTCATTTTCTGCCCAACATGTACTGCCTTATGGTGCAGGCAAACCCATCGGTCTCGGCTGTCTGCCTGGGAAGTCAGATGTGGCCGGAGAGAATGTGTGATGCAGGGAGGTTTTCTTGCTGCTGGAGAGATTACTTTATTCAGTGGAGCACTGCCTGAACACTGACAGTAGCCTTATCTTAGTAAGATTTGCACAAACTGAAACATACCTATGCAAGCTGTGTCTTTGGTTTTTAGGAGTTTGCTCGGGAGAGAGCATGCTGTCATATACCTACTTATATAAGAAGATGGGCATCATTAATTTTTAAAGTATTTTATGAAAAACAGATTAATTTGTGAAGCTATTTCATATAGTAAGGTTTTTTTGTTTGTTTTTTTTTTTTTTTTTTTTTTGGTGGTGGTGGTGGTGGTTGGGGAATATGGAGTGAGGGGAAAGGATAAAGGTAAACTAAATACAGCCCATAAAATCACTGGTAATTATTTTAAATTTTGTTTGCTTTTCCTAACAAGTTGCACTTTGTGGGGAACCAGGAACTGTACAGGCACTCGGGGAACTGGGATACAAATGCAAACAGGTCGCAGGGAGCCCAGCAAAGCCAAGTGCCTGCTGGCGACCGGCTCCACACACAGCCGCCGCCTTCGCCTGCTGAGTGGTGGGCTTCCTTAGAAGGCCCCGGTGGGGTGCATTAGTGCCCCTCTGCCGCTCTCAGCCTGCTCCAGTTACACCTAGAGCCACCGCCTCCTATGCCGCCACCGAAGGGAGAAACACAAAATCACTGGGCTGAAAAGGAGACTGCAAACAACTAGTATTTATGGATATTCAATTCTACTCCCCTCTCCTTGGGGCAGGTGAGAAGCTTCTACAGAATGAGCCTCTGTTTGGAGTGGAGTTGGAAGCCCCAGCTCTCTCTGTGGGTGGCACTGCAGAGCCCAGGGAAGGGGGAGGGGAGGTGGTCTCCGGGGCACTGGTTTCGTTTTAATCAGCCTCTCGCACAGGAGGGTAGTGGAGGAAACAGTTACATCTGAGACCTTGCAGAGCAGAGCCTGCCCTTTAGTGTTTAGGGATCGCGGAGGAGCTTTGTGTTGAGAGCGGGCCAGCGCTCGCGCAGGGATGGTGACGCCAGGGGACCTGGCTTGGGCTGGGTGGCTCTGAGGGGCCAACCTCTCAAGTGTTTCCGGGTCTAAGCAAGAAACCAAAGATACCAATTTTTGGTCTATTTCTGCCTCCAAATTTGTCTGTCTCGAGAGGTGGTTTGCCCAGCTCTGGTGCAGCGGTCAGAACCGATGAGGCCCGGCAGACCGGCGTGTTCCGGGCTCCCTGGCACCTGCTTGTATTTGCACGATCAGCAAGTCTCCACTGGCAAAGAAGGTGGCTTAAGGGAGGGGAAAGAGAAGGAGGAACAGAAAGGCGGAATTTAAGCTCTTAAGTTATTGTTACCCTCTCCCTTTGTTTTGCACAACTATTTATCTTCCGGTTTGGACTTGCCAGGTATAGGAAATGCTAAAGTTGCATCTGGAAACTGTATTCTTTAAGCCTTTAAGTTGGATTTACAGTCCTCTCCATTATCTGGTGGTAGCGTCGATTCTTCCTGTGGCCACATGGCTTTGTGATAGAACGCCATAGACCCCTTTGTGGAAGGTGCCCTTTGGGAAAGAGATTGATCTTGTGCCGCTCAGTATTTTTTTAAAATAGGTATTGAATAGATGGACCTTTCAGGAGAGAGAGATGACCACTGTCTGGGGCAAGAGGCAGGAAAATGAACGCCGGTGGCGGGGCGCTGGCAGCAGACTCCCAGGGATACCCCCCCCACCGGAAACTGGAAGCGGGCCGCTGCAGCCCTCCCCCAGGGTCCTGTGTCCAGGGCTTTTCACAGGAATTCAGAAAGTCGACCTGGAAGTACTTCATAGAAAACCGGAAAACTCATTTGGCTGAGGGACACAGCCGGGTGGGTTAGGGAAGGTGGTTCAGGGAAAGGTGTGGGTGTGCGCGGGTGGGGGAAGCAGCAGGACTCCGGGGCTAGAAACCGGGGACGCGCCAACCCTGGAGGAGCGAACGCTGTCCGGGTGGATACGCCACTGCACAGCAGGTGGGTGATGTGGGGACTCCTGGGTGGGGAAAAATCCTGGCAATGAAGTAGAATGACGTCATACAGTAGGTGAGGCCCTTAGAAAGATCTTTTCTGTAATAAGTTTGGGGGGAAAAATTTAGAGCTACCTGGCGTACTTTAAAAAGGGGCCCAAGGGGAGAGACTCTTCCCCACGTGGCCGGGCTCGTCTGCCCAACGCTGAGCTGCGCCGGGCAGGCGGCGGACGGAGCCTTTGGCGCAGCCGCGGAGGCGGGCGCCGCTGTGTCCAGCCTGACGGTCCCGGCAGTGAGGGCGAGTCCAGGGTTCTCAGAGCATCGCAGCATTAACCTCAGTTCATTATTCAGGGGCTGAGATTAAGTTCGGATGGAGTGAATTTTGTGGTATAAAGTATATGAGAGCCCTGGGATATTTAAAATTGATTCTTGGAAATGGTCTTAAATTTTTAAACAAAGAATTTCAGGTTTAGTCTAAAATATAACTTCAGCGGGATAAATGACAATTTCTCAGCCATGGCATGGGGATGCCAGAGTAACCAATTAAAGGTGGGATTTTCCTTCTCAGTGGATACTTCCTTTTCCTGGTATTTAATGATGAAATTGGCCCCATTTTTCTTAGTATTACAGGGGTGGGCAAATGTAGGTTTACAGCTGTAATACCAATGAATAATTAATAATACAAGGAAAAACCTGTTTTATGTACTCATAACTGTAAACCTACTTTGTCTGCTCCTGTATTTTGGAAGCTACTTTGATCTCCTGGGCTGGGAATTAACGTCTCTGTCACCTGTAGGGGGGTGTGTTCCAGTCTTTCATGGGCCCCAGGTGTATCTTTTTCTTAGCAAGCGGCTGTCATGTTGGTCAGATGTAGCTGTCGGGACAGCCTCCTATTAGCAGTAGAATCTAGAAACAGGGTATGTGAATGGTTGGTTGCCTGTTGAATTTAGGCCGCCTGTGGTGCTCAGGGTTGAAAGCTGTTGTGGGTGTCTCCGTGTCAGCTTGGTGGCAGCGGGCGTGTGGGTTGATTTCCAGACCCGTGTAGAGGTCTGGGACGTGTCACTGGGGTGGTGTTCAATATCCACAGCCTCCCCTCCAGTTCTCATTGAAGGGCAGTTCAATTTAATTGCTAATTACCAGCCAGCCCTGTGTTTACTGAAATGGCCGTCGTGCTTGCTATTTTTATGAAACAGCTTATTGTAGGGCAGCTATTACTGCACATGCCCCTTCAAGTCATGGGCCCTGGCCCGTGTCACTCGAGGCAGGCTGCGCATCTCCGCCAGCTCTGCAGGGTTAGCCCTTCCTGGGGACGGCAGGCCTCCGGTAGCTGAGGCCACGGCAGCTTTGGGTTGTTAAGAAGATGCTCTCAGGCCCCTTCTCACTTCAGCCATCGGTCTATAAATCACACAGCACTAATTCTCCATCAAATAGCAGCTTAAAACAGAACACTGTCAAGTCGGTTTATACTCCATTCTTAAATCACGTTGAGGAAATACTGAAAGAAAATGGAGTTGAAGCCGTCTTTCTGTTCGAATGACCATCATAAACCTACCTAATGCTTTTTTAAGAAAGAGCTCTCGGAAGATGAAGAGTCATTCTCAGGATAATTTTGCCAGTAAATCCTCTCTCCGTCCAAGCGTTTATTAGGCCGTTACTTGTTTTGGAGGACAGATTACCCAGGCAGCTCATTAACTGGATAAGTGGGGCTTTACAAAAGGTTTTTGGTGAGGTTCTGTAGGGGAAGCACAGGGACACGGTGGCGAGGGAGCCCTCGGTTCTCTGGCCTCGGCACTTAGTCCTAAAATGAATAATGATTTTCGGTGGCCCCGTCCCTTCCTGCCCCGCTGGGTTGTTGTGAATTTTGCTTCTGTGTACGTGAGTAACCCTAACCCACCATCACCCCCACAAGCAGGAAGACTGCTAGCAGGCTCTGTCAGCAGGAGTTTGAGACGTATTTCAGGCACCTTTTGGGGGAGCTTAGATTTACTATGTCCTTTCAGAACCTGGCAAGAGTGATAGTTCTTAGGCCAGATTGTAAATTTCGTAGTGCTGAGGCTGCAGAAGTCTGTGTTAGCAAACCAGCTGACTTTTAATTGGGACAGGTCTACGAAGGGCCCTCCTATAACTAGGCCCCTTTTTGCCCTGGAGATGTTTTAAAAGAGGGAATGTGCTGTTGACAATCTTAATTGATTTTTCCTAAATTGTTTGACTGAGGGAGGCAGCGCCAGTGAAGGTTTCAGCCTGATGCTTTCCACCTCACAATCTGGGGTCAGCTCTCTCCTCAAATAATCAACACGTGGGCCTGAAACCTGCTGCAGCAGCGTGGCAGCCACCTTCTTCACACTGCTCCTTTGCTAATGGGTATGCAGTGCGGCCTTTCAGATGGAATTAGTGGGTTTTCCCAAAGAGTCACTCAGTAGAATCCTTGAAATGATGCGGCTAAATTCAGTAGAAATGAAAACTAGAATATAAATTGTGGGTCGTGGCCATGAGCTATTCAACTGACCAACTATCTCAAAGCTCTAGGAGGGTGTGTACACCCAACAATTTCATAGCTTCTTCCAGATTAGCAATAACTACAAAAAAGAAGTGGGGAGGATGTGGAGCTCAACGGAAACATCCTTGACTTGGTATAAATAATGATCAAAGTTCTTTCTCCTGGGCTACCTACACCCTGAAAGACAGAAGTTCACCTTCGCGCACAAGCCTGGACAGTCAAGAAGCTCCTTCTTAGACCGAGATACTGAGTTTACAAGCCCAGTAAAAAAAAGCAGCACCAACCTCTCTACAAAGGCTGCCCATTTGGTTTTATAAATCTAGTGAACTTTTACTAAAAACTTCTGTGCCAGGTGGCACGCTGGGTTCTGCGGCTGATGGTCCCACCCTCCCGCCTTAACCACCCAACCAGCCAGCCAGCCAGCCAGTCTCCTCCAGCAACAGAGCGCATGGCTTGGGCCTGACCAGGCAGAGCTGGTTCAGCCCGGCCTGGGGGACAGCCAGTTTTCTAGCATATTCCCCTCCCAGCTTACAGATGTGTGGGTTCCAGTGACAGATGGCAGTAGCTTCACCTATGGTGCCAACTCATACATTTTAATGAGATTTGTCCCTCAATAGCAAACAAAGAACCAGACCAAATTCATACTCATGCAAAAAAGTATTTAAGATTGTATTTCACTGAGGCCCATTTATGAGCAGAGCCCTACTTGATGAATTTCTTAGGGTGTAATGTGAGCATATCTTTCGAATATCTAGTCAGGTCCTGAGTAAGATAGCTGAGCTGAGCGGTGACTTGATTTTTCCCCCCCCCTTATAAGCAATTATAACTACATAACAGTTTGATCTTTGGGATTTCAAGACCATGGGCAACCATGAGAGCAGGGTGACCATCTGCATGTAAACATCAAGTGATTTAACGGTGGCATGTTTCTCTGGAAATGGTCAGTCCATAATACAGTTCGCACTGGACATGCTAGTTTTGGTAACCCTCTCCCTCCAGCGGCCCCTCGCCCCACTGCAGTAAGCCCCTGGTGTACAGCAGTCTGGACAGATCCTCCAGAGCTTTCTGGACGGGCGCGTGACTGAGACGCCAGGCCTTGCGAGGCAGTGATCCCACTCGGGTCTGACCTCCTGCTGCCTTTACCCGCGTGGAATCGAGACGTGTGGGGTGAGGAGAGAGAAGGGACTCCGCCTTCCTCTCTTGAAAAGAGGCTTTATGAAAACATTTATGTTGGGCCCAGTTGTCAGTATTGTGACAGAATGTGTGAGGGGCACAAGGCTTCCTGGGTGATGTCCTCTCTCCTAATTCTACACCAGGAAGGGGGCAGACACTGCCATCACTCCAGTGCGGGCCCCGAGTGAGCGGCTGCACCCACTGCCTGCAGGAGGGCGACGGGCGAAGGCCTGCTCCTCCAGCCGCCGCAGGAGCGCCCTTCCTGGCGGAAATGCTTACTCTTCCTCGTGGGCTAAAGATTCAGTGTAAAATCAGGGCTTCCAAACATTTTGTTCTCTTATTTATGTCAGAATTTGACACATGCTTTTCAAAAATACCATTTGCAAAACTGGTCTTTAAGCATTGTGAGTCGGAGGTAACAAAACGAATGAACAAAAAGGGGTGTCCCACTGCGACAGAAATGGCATTATTGTCACAAGCATGGCAGTGCAGGCAGCCCGCGGCGTGGGGACGCTGGTAACTGCACCACAATTACTGTTAAAGGTCAAGATTCTGATATGCTAGTTTATAATCTTATTCTTTGCAGGCAAAACAAATCAATTTAATGTTACAGCTTATTTTTTTCCTTTTATCTCTTTCTGGCCTAAGGGTGGGATGGGGGGAAATTGTCAACTGCACAATCTTTGAAGTGTAAGTTAATTTTTTATGTGATATTTCAGTATATATTTTATTCATTAAATTTATTTGAAAATGTCTGTTGTCTATTTTACCAAAAAGTTCTTGTATTCTCAGAGCACCGCCCTCGGGGGCCGCAGGGAGTGGAAGGGGCGCCACGGCCTGCCCCTGTGGACGGTGCATGGCGCCGCCACCCCGCACGGGACTGGGGGCCTCCGGCCCTGCCCTCAGGAGGCCTCTCTGAACGAACGTGTTTACACGGCCAGTGGATTCATTTTGATGTCTTCCTCTCCATCAACTTATTTTTAGGTCTACAATACTGCAGAATGAATTTTTCTTAGGGAACAATATTTGAAACAGTATGTTTCCTTCAGTTCAGAATTACTAAGCACTAGAATGTGCTATTTCTTAGCCCCTGTTGCAGCCATGATGGAGCCGGGGCCCTGGGGCTGGGAGAGGCCGGCTCATCGAGCTCGTGGGCGCTGGGTTTCAAGGCTCTGGCCTGGGTCATGGCCGCACTCCCTCAGGCAGAGGGACCCGGAATATCTCATGACGACAGCTGCTTCTCCAGTATCTCCTTTATCACGGTCGGATCTGCTCGGCTGAGAGTCACTTTTCGGACCAAGCCAATCAGTTTGTTTATAGCTCTGGGGTTTCCCTTCTTCACATCCATTACCTTACAAGACAGAAATTGTTTTAGAGAAGGAAAATACAGAGACTCACACCTAAACTAAGGTTTATACTTAACCGAAATTTAAATTGTTTCTTCTTTTCTCTTAGTATTAGACATACAATGAGAAAAGGAAAAAGGGAGGGGTGACCTTCTGGGGCGGTTTCCAGGCTCCCGTCAGAGAGACTGATACTCTGCCTTCCCAGGAAAATGGACCAGAGGACTGTGTCCCGCGCCACCGCCCACTGCAGCGCGCGCTCCTCCCGGCGCCGGCGCCGCCGTGGCGGGGGAGCGCCAGCCCTCGGCGAGGAAGGAGCCTCCCGGTTCCTCCAGTGGAGGTCAGCAGGCACTGAAATGCATGGATTTCCTTCGCCCCCCCGAAGGATGAGCCTCCCGGTTATTATAAAGACAAATGCACAGAACGGCGACTCTCCCGGAGCATTTGGATGAGGGGAGGCATACACTGTGGTGGGCAGGACGGGGACAATGAAAGCAGGAGGCGCCGAACACCACCCGCTCTGCAGCGTCTCGATGAGCAATGACGCCCGCGAGTGCCTGCACTCCCGGCGGCAGAAGTGTGCTTTTGTCGGTCAGCATGGCTGAGGCAGGAGGACAGACTGCCAAGCCCCCCTGCAGGCTCCTTTGCCTTATCAAGAGCTCTTTCCAGATCTGTTAAGTGTTCCTGGCAAGCTGATGGGTAGGTATTATTCTAAAAGAGGTGCAATACTATTCCCCCCACTGAAAATATATCTAGACAACGTGGTTGGAGTTGGGGAGGGCGGGATGCTGCTCATCGTAGCTTTTCTATTTTCTATGCTCAGAACACAAAATGACTTGGTTTTCAGCTATGCTCCTGTTAAGGCTTTTCTCCATCATTTAAGAATAATATTCCTTTCTGCTTTTCTTCCCACCTCTTAAAGGCATGAAGCTGAGGTGTCACCCTGCCTGTCCTCCCGCTCTGCAGTCATGCCTGCTGGCTTCTGCTGAGGGGGCCCCTCATAAAGCAGAGCCAGCCTCAGCCCACTCAGAACGCCAGTCCCCCGGGCGGGGGGCGGGGGGCGGAGGGGGCGGCAGCCTGGGAACGCAGCTCCAGCGAGTCAGAGAACCACCTTCACACTGAAGCTCCATGAGATTAAACCGCAGGAGCGGATTTTCCTTTTCCTTGGGAAAAGCTGTATTTTTGTAATATTCACCTGATTTCATCTCTTGACCTTAGGTAAAAACTGACAAAAATAGGGAACTACTGCTGAAACTGGATCAGCTGTTATTAGGCAGCGCCTCTGGGCTGCGGCAGGGAGCTGAGGACAGGTTCTTGGCCATGTCCCCAGGCTGGCCCCCCGCCGGCCAGCAGGTGGCCCCGCCCCGCCCCACGTGGAGACCCTCCCACCGCGGTGGCAGTTACCACTTGGGGATGCTCCTCCAGCGTGGCCTGGCAGAGCCGCTCCAGGGCCTCTCGGTCCTGCATCAGTTCCAGCTGCTTTTCCGACATGATCTGCGCTGGCGTCTTCCCTTCGCTCCTCCACAGCTCCTGAAACACCTGCGGGCCAAAGAGGAGGGACGTCTCTCCTGAACCCCCGGGGACGACGCCACTGTACAGGGTGTGCAGACACACCGGGAGTCTCCCCAAGCTGAGCTGCTCCCTCGGAAGAGAGGAGGAGCCCCACCCGCACACTGGGGCCTGCCTGCGAGCCCACTCCCACTGCGCAGCGGGGGCGCGGGAGGCCTGAGGCGGTCACTCACAGGGCTCCTGCTGACAGGGCTCAGAGGGCCGGGCACAGCTCTGTCCTGTGTCCCCTGAGTTAACTGAAGTCACGTTCTGGTGAGGGATGGGGTCCCACAGGCTGTAGGAGGTAACCACGCACCCAGATGAGGTCCATTAAAGCCTGCCTGCGGGGAAACCTGACTTCACGGCAGCTGGAAAATGGTCCCAAAATGAATATACAAAATGGAAAATAAAACCGCAGATCAGAACCACAGGGACCTGGCCCCAAACCGGGCCAGGATAAGCAAGAGTAAGTGGTGTGGTTTTTCTACTTAAAAATGATAACAATAACAAATCCCTAATTGATCAAAGTTGGGGAAAAATATTTTTAAAGAAGGCATTTCCTAGGGTAGTTTTCCTCATTCCTCTTTTCGTCTAGAACAAGCTGGAAGGGGTGGTGGTCCCCTGAGTCTGCTGTGGCACCTCCTCCTCCTCAGCCTGCGGTCAGCATTGAGCACTGAGCACCCCCAAGACCATTCTGGCCAAGGACAAGCATCCCTCTCAGAAAAACAGCTGGTCCATAACTAACACATAGGACTTCCTGTCAAATGGCAGAGTGGGTAAAAGCTGTGCTTGCCTTCTCCCATGACCACATCAAAATGACAACTAAATTATAGAACAGCTATCACTGAGAACTACCTGAAGACTAGCTGAACAGAAGTCGCCACGTTGAGAAGGGCGGGCGCCGCGGAGACACAGATGGGTAGGTTCCACATCCATGGTGTGGAGACTAGGAATCAGAGGGATATCTTGGCTGCACTGGTTCCCACCCCCACCCCGGGGAGCAAGAGGTCCCAGTCCAACACTGGGATCCCCAGCCCAGGATACCAGCTCCCGGAAGAGGAGTCTCGATAACACCTGGCTGAGGAAAACCAGCAGGGACTGCACCAGAGTGCGATGGAGGGCTGCTGGAGCCCAGGGCATTCCTCAGCGGGCCGTGCGTGGACTCGCTTGCTCACGGGCTCGCTCGCTCTGGGCTCCAGCACAGTGGCAGCAGCTCAAAATGCAGCAGGGACATACGGTGAGGGGCTACACTGACTGGCTTCAGGGCCGGTGGCAGCTCTCACCAGCTCTTGCCAGAGACAGAAGGGCTGGCAGAAGCATTGCTCTTCGTGGAGCTCTTCTCCCACGCAGCCAGCCTGCAGAGGTGGCGCTGGCCCCGAACCCTCCATCGACCTGGCTGCCACTGCTCGCCCTGCCCTGGGGATTCCTTGAGCCCCCTCCCCACCCAACTTGCTCGTCTGGCCTGAGCCACTTCTAGTGGTCCCTCCACACAAGTGGCCTGCCTTAGCTCATGCTATGAACTTTCCTAAAGTCTCTCAAAGGTACCCAAACCCCAAAGAGGCGGCAGCAGCCGGCCTTGGCATGTCCTGTACCTCTTGCTCAGTGGCCCCAAGCCTGGCACAAGTGAAGACCGGTCTCAACTTGCACTTTAACTCTCCTCAGGTAGCTCCAAGCCTGAGGATAAGCTGCCGCGGGCCTTGGGACGTGGCCTCAGCTCAGCAGCCCCAAGCCTGACACAAGCGGTGGCTGGCCTCCGCTCACACTGTGGGGCCCACCGAAGGGTCTCGTGCTCAGCACAAGCGGCAGCCACCTGCAGATGGCTCGGGAGCCTCAAGCCCAGCAGAAGCAGTGGCCGACCTTGGCCAGCTCCAAAGCCCCTCCCAAGAGGCTCCAGAACCCACACACACAGTGGCCGGCTTCACACAACACCAGAGCACCACCCAACCAGCTCCACAAATGACACACCTGAAGGGCCAACTTGGCTGGTAACACAACCCTGCCAAAGCAACTTCCGCTCCATGGGGTCAACCCCTGCACAACAGCCCCCAAATAGCCAAAGCAGTGTCGAGAAGGAACAGAGTTGGAGGTATCGCACTACCAGCCCATGGGGTGTGCTGCAGGGCTACGGTGGTCAAGGCAGAGTGGTACAGTGGCAAGGGGACAGATGTGTGGGTTGAGGGGCCAGGGGGGAGAGCCCAAAGGTGAGCCCAAAGGTAAGCCCACATCTCGATCACTGACTGATCTATGATGGGGAGGCAGGGGTGTATAGTGGCATGAAAACAGTGTCTCAAGTGGATGGTGTTGAGAAAGCTGGACAGATAGCACAGAGTGAGGCTGGACCGCTTTCTTACTGTATATGCAAGAATAAACTCAGAATGGATTGGGGACTTGGGTGGTAGGACCTGAGACCACGGAGCTCCTAAGGAAAATGTAGGCAGTAAATCCTGTAAATTCTTTGACATATCTCTCAGCAGTATTTTTCTGCATATGTCTCCTCAGGCAAGGGAAACAAAAGGAAAAAAATAACCCCCCCGCCAACTAAAAAGTTTCTGTACAGAAGGAAATCATCAAGAGAACGAGGCGACAACCTACTGAATAAGAAAAGACATTCACCAATGATGAATGAGCATCCAATGAGTAGTTAATATACTCAATATAAGAGGAACTCGTCCAACTTAACACCCATAAAACAAACAACCTGATTGAAAAATGTCCTGAATGGGCATGCGGATGGCCAATGCACAGATAAAGGGAATGCTCAGCGTTGCCAGTCATTGAGGGAAGGCAGGTCATAGCCACGATGAGATCACCTCGCACCTGTCGAAAATGCCTCTCATCAATAAATCAACAAACAACTGCTGGCAGGATGTGGGCAGCAGGGAGCCACCCACACTGTTGGTGCGACCGTAACCTGGTGCAGCCCCTGCAGAGGGCAGCATGGAAGTTCCTCGAAATACTGGCAATGGAACTGCCAGATGACCCAGTGGGTCCACTTCTGGGTATTTATGCAGAGGAGTCCAAAACGCTAGCCTGAGAGGCTGTGTGCCGCCCCTGTGTTCACTGCCGCCCTGTTTCCCACGGCCGGGCTGCAGAGGTAACCTCGGGGGCCACCGGCGGTCAATGAGCGAAGGAAGATGTGGTGCATATATACAATGGACTACCACTCAGCAATAAAAAGAAGGAAATCTTGCCACTCACACAACATGGATGAACCTAGAGTATTATGCTAAGTGAGATAAGCCAAAGACAAAAACTGTATGATTTCATTTATGTGGAATCTAAAAAAGAAAATAAATGAACAAACTCACAGATACAGAGAACTGATGGTTGCCAGATTTGGGGTGAGTGGGGATACGGGTGCAAAAGGGGAAGGGATTAAGAAGTACAAATTGGCAGTTATAAAAACAGTCACGGGGAGGTAAAGAACAGCATAGCAAATATAGTCAATAATACTGTTGAGAACTACGTTTGGCGTCAGGTGGGCACTAGACTTACTGGGGCCATGATTTTGCAAGATGTCTAATCACTATGTTGTACACCTCAAATGAATATATTTAATGTCAATTACAATTGAAAAAAAAAATCACCACATGCAAAGCAAATGAAGGGGAAGGTGCTTGGAGTCTCAGCAGGGCTCTAAGTTTTCCCCAATCTGGACAGAAACAAATTACGAATATTTATCATGGCTACGATGGCCAGGTGCCTTGGGCCTGGCTGTCGGCCCACAGGGCCTGGGGTCAAGAGGTGCCTTTGGTGGGTCCTGCTACATCCTCTCTGGCCACCCTCGAACAGCCCTGACTGCTCAGGGAAAACCTGTCCCTCCTCTTAGGAAAAATATGGAACATATGTGCCTCTATCTCGATTTTTCAAATATTCATCCAGCTTAATAATGAGCAAGGCACTGCGAGAAGGGCACAAAGGTGCGTAAGATCTTCCTCTGCCCACAACACACTTACTGATGGAGTGTGAGCACCACAGGAAGGGGCAACGGAACCGCCCATAACACGGTCATTCTTGGGGCCGCCACAGCACGTCTGACAAGTTTCTCTGTCCCTTCCCTGACATGTTTTTCTTGAATTAAGACTTAATATTTTAAGCCTTAAACTTATAGCATTGTTTCTAATTATAAAAGTTCATACATGATCACTATAGAAAATAAGGAAATACAGAAAAGATAAGAAGAAATCACCTGTATTTCCATTCCGGCAAGATAACCAATGGTAGTAGTTTGGGGTTTTCCCTTCCCATCTTTTTCTTTGTTTTGTAACACAGTTGTGATTGTAATGTATATACTGACCTGCTTTCGTTTCACTTATTAAAATAAGTGCTTTCTTATATTAATAAAAGATTAATGTCCATCAAATATACTTATGATAATTAAATTATCCCCTAGTGGTAGGTGTTTAGATCAGTGTTCATTTTGTTCATCTCTATAGTGTCCTAATAAAGTTCCTAGCTGAAAATGTCCAACACTCAGGAAGAGAGTGGAGGTCTCAAGAAACTCCGTATCTCTGGCTCAAAGCGACAGTCACCTGCGAGGACTTGCTCATAAAGACTCTATGCAGCAACCCTTTACAGGAAAGGGAGACGGGGAAGCCCAGCAGGCACAGCCTTGCCTCGGCGCGCCTGCCCGTCTCAGGGCCTGCTCCAAGGCCCGCGGCACTTCTGCTTTTCTGCTACAGCACCTGCGGCTGAGGGCGCAGGGCAGGTCTGAGCAGGTCTCGCCTGACACTCATGTGGTGGGGACCCAGCGGCTCAAACGCTGGCCGGCTGTGCCTGAGGCAGCTTGGGGATCATTGCCAAACCACACACACCACGCAGATGGAAAAGCAGGGCAAGGCCAGGGCGCTTTTAAATGCAGAGAGACTGGCTGCTCCCTGAGAAAGATTGGGGGACAAAGGAGGAACACTGTAGAAATACATCTCAGTGGCCTCCAGGAACAAATGGGAACCTGGTGGCTAAACTGTTCTCTACTCTTGGCATTAGAACACATCAGCTTATTAACATCCCAAACTAGTCTAGTGGCCACTATCAGCTCTAGGCCCCCGGGATGACACAGCGGGCTCCCCTGGTGCAACCCTCTGCTCGCCGCTACAGAAGACAGGCTGCGCTTTGCGCTGGAGCCCTGCAGGGTGGGAGCCCCTGGCGGGGGCGGCCGGCCTCTGCAGGGCTCCCTCCCCCGGCCCTCTTGCAGAGATGGCAATGGCCTCTGTTGCTGCCAGCCTCCTGCTGCAGCACAAATCCTCAGCTTCTGTCTGTGTTTAATCGCCACCCTGGGAAGTGCCATCAAAGTACAAATGTTTCTGGCCAAACATGCAGCTCCCAGGCCCTGCTGCTGCCCGCCTGATACAAACACACACCCGGAACAAGGATCTCCCAGCGCGGCGCTGGCCGCGTGTATCCATGAATGCCTGCCGAAAGTAAGGCGTATCGCAGACTGGGAACCCCTGATTACAGCTGACCACCACGGAGGCAGCTCTGAAACGGGGACAGAAACTCGGCCCTCAGTTCCCCGGGGCCGGAATTCACACATCTTCTTACCTACTACCCAAGTGCTTCTCTAGCTAAAGCTATTTTTAAAGTATCTGGAAGGACAGATGGAAGGAAAGCAGGCAGGTCCCTCATGTATCCTGGGGGCTTTCGGGGTCAGAGCACGGAGGAAAGACCTGTTCAAGGGCGACGGCAGGGAGGGGGCTGTGACTGTTACAGGGAGGGGCATCCCTTCTAGTCCACGGCAAGTAATGGTGGAAGGCCGTCCTTCTAGAAAGGAACAAACGTCAACCCAAGACCCTAAGAGAAGCCGGGCAAAGGAAAATGTGCAAAGGACTGAAGCACTGAAAGGGAGTAAAACATACAATCATTGGTATGCATGACGTAAAACTGTCTACAAAGGATTTTGCTGATTTTTGTTTAAAGCAGACCTCAAAGTAGACAAGAGGAAGTGACAAAATGAAAGATAAAAAGCTCATGATAATTTCAATAGATATACTGAAAGCATTTGACAAGAGACAACATCCATCTATAATGAAAACTCTCAAAATGGGTTTAGAAGGAAAGTACCTCAACACAATAAAGGCCACACGACTACCCAACAGCTGATGTCCTACTCAAAGGTGAAAAACTGAAAGTCTTTCCTCAGGGTCAGGAACACGAGAAGGATGCCCACTCTTGCTACTTCTAGTCACGTAATACTGGAAGTCCCAGCCACAGCAGTTAGGCAAGGAAAAATAAATAAAAGGCATCCAAACTGGGAACAAAGAAGTAAAACAATCACTATTTGTGGATAACATGAATTTATATGAAGATGACCTTAGAAGATCCACCAAAAAACTGTAAGAAATAATAAATACAGTAAAGTTGCAGGATACAAAATCAACATGCAAAATCTGTTGCATTTCTATATACTAACAGCAAACTATCAGAAAGAGAAATGAAGAAAACCAATCCCATTTACAATTGCAACAAAAGGAATAAAACACCTAGAAATAAACAAAGGATGTGAAAGATCTATACACTGAAAACTATAAGGCAATTCTGAAAGAAACTGAAGAGACAAAAATGGAACCATACTCCATGTTCATGGACTGGAAGAATTAACGTTGTTAAAACATTCATATTACCCAAGGAATATACAGATTCAATGCAATTCCTATCAAAATATCAATGGCATTTTTCACAGAACAACAACAACAAAAAATCCTGAAATTTGTAATGGTCCCTTAGAAGACTGTAGCAGCCAAAGCAATCCTGAGAAAAAAGGACAAAGCTGGAGGCATCACATTCCCTGATTTCAAACTATACTACAAAGCTATAGTAATCAAAAAAGTTTAATACAGACAGATACAAAGATTTTCAAATTCTACCACCTTGAAATAACTACCATTAATATTAGATGAATACTATTCCAGGCATCTTTCCATACATATGTACCAACTGAAGAATGGATTCTTTATTTTAAAAAATACCTTTTTTCCCCCCCACCAGAATTCAGAAAACAAAAAAGAAAAACAAAACACAAAACTACCAAGGCAGTGATAAATAAGGGAGATTTCCTCAGGCAGCACGCCAATGACACCTTTCCGATCAGACTCTTGTTTTCTTCTGGCTGCCTTGCAAAAGCCAGGGTTCACTTCACCTCCCTCAGACACGCTGGAAATTTGTTTGGAACCCAGCTGTCAGCACCTTCCAGCATTTTCCATTTCTTCTACTGAAGGTATCATATGCACTGCACTGTTTTTTTTTTCTTTTCTTTTTCTTTCTTTTTTTGGCAGGGCAAGATAAGTGGAAAGGGGAAGATGTTTTCCCCCTCATTTCGAATGCTGCAATTCATGTGTTCTTTTATATACATACAGATATGCCCTGCCCTTGGGCCATCCAATCTTTCTGCTACTGCTGAGCAATGTCATAAACATTTGTATTCTTCCGACACCCAGGCAGCTGAAACCCTTTCCTAAGTGTGGCGAGGGCCCTGTGGTTGACAGCCTCGCCTGGTGGTGGGTACACAGAGCCTTTATTAGTTCCCGTCTCCAGTTTCACAGTGAAGAAGCCGGCGTGTGCTGCACGGTGCCTCACAATTAGCCAAAAGCAGCCACTTTCCAAAGCCTCCCTTTGTGATCTACCACTACTGTCGGTGTGTATAAATATTAAATGCAAAAGGCACCATTAAAATAGCATTAAGTTTCTGGTGGATGCACTGACAGATGCAGACATCTGAGGTTGAGATCAGGCGGCCGCCTTGGTGTTCTTTATCCTCTGGGTCCTTATCTGTCTGAGTTTTCAGGATTCCAGGAATCGTTCATCTCCCTAAGACTGTGAGGCGGAGGTGGGGATGAAGCACAGGCCACCTTGGATGATGATGCTGTTTTTCACACACACTGGGTACGTGTGTAAAATTTTCTCCAAGTTCACGTGAGGCAGGCTGTCTGACCTCACCCTCGTTGCTGAAAGACTGACTTTCAGGGGCAACCACACAAGAAAAAATGAGCCCCTGCTAAGAGGGAGGACTAGAAGGCTGGGAGGCAGTTGGAAGCCCTGGAACTTCAGGGCCCAGACTTTTTACATAAACAAATGTTTGGGAAACATTCCAGGCAAAGCCAAACAAGAACTATTCCCTCAGGTCAGCAAAGATGAGAAGCAAATCACCTGCCCAGCTCATGCTGGTTTTATTTCATTTGCTAAATAAGCCATTTCTACCTTTCAGGACAAAAATAGCATATACAAGCATTTAGCACTTCAATTATGAAATTCACTTAGTGATGGCATTTGCGTTTGACATAAAATTTTTACTGGATAGCAGAGCAGCCAGAAGCTTTGGGAAGTGTGGACATACCTGTTTGGCTGCGGCTGAAGAAATGGCTTTCCTGTCCAGCAGGTTGAGAAGCTCGGCCAGCGCAGAGGGCGTGACAGGACTAGCAGCCCCCAAAAGGAGAGAGAAGACATTTTCATTTCACACTGTCAGCACATCCCTTTACAGTAGTTCAGGACTGGAACACTTGATTTTATAGGTTTAAATAATTAAACCCCCACCCAGCAATGAAAACAACAGGCCAAATTGTGTTCTACTTTATCCATCTATTTTGTATTTTAGGATGTAACAAATTTTTGTGAGTGGTGTTTTTCTTTGTTTTACCACCCAACAATAACAGCTGTTTGGCAGAAGTTGTAGCAACTGCTCAGTTTAATTAGTCAAAGAAAGGAGGTGGCTCCAAAATTCATGAACCGTGACACAGAAAGAAAAAACCCAGTAATTACATATTTTCAACGGAAAGATCAGCCTAAAAACTACATGAGACAGAACAGCTAACAAGGTCACTTTTTTGAGTGTTTCCGTGCAAATATAAATTCTTTTTCATTGTGCGAGCTTTTGTTTACGGGAGCCCAAGGACGGCCCACCACGTCGTTAGCCGCCCCCACGGGCCTCTCTGGAGACTGCTCTCCCTGCAGGCCCACGGCAGCCTGTGGCACGCAGAAGGGCCCCGAGTTCCTCATCTGTGCTCGTGGGCCATGATTTGTTTACCAAGTTTCAGAGATATAAAGGCCAAGGATCAAACAAACACATAAAATGTCATTAATTCACATTCAGGGGTAGGAGCTGGGGAGTGGTAGTGAGTGCCTAGATGAATCAAAAGCCAAGACTGACTAACAGATTATTTCTTTTAAAATACACGGTTTTGCTAGTTGCAAACACATACAGCAACTAGACTAATGAAACGCTGTCTGTCTGAGGTCATTAGGGGCTGGTTTTAAATAGCTAGGAACAACTTATACATAGCACATTAGTGTGTCTGTAAATGAAAGCTTCCAAAACACTCAATGCCACTTGGAAACGCCTTCTGTTGAAGTCTCAGTTGCCATCGTTCACTATTAATTTCTTGGTAAGCTCTTATATAATAAAAAGGAAACCACTGCTTGGCCCCTGCCACTTTCGATGAGTTTCAAACTAATCAAGCGCAAGTTAAGCAGGTATGCCCGCTGTGGTCTGGTACGTACGGTGAAACCTCGTTAGGGGTGTTCATTCAGGACAGCTAACGCACCGAGGCACACATCATCTTTAAAGTGCCCTTTGTCCTAAACTGTGTAAGGACAAAGGTCATTCCAAGTGGAAATTAGGTTTGGAGAGTATCTGCTGTTATTAAGCTGGTGCCTGGAATATCTGTGAAGCGTGCCGACAAACTCTTGGCGACAGGAGGGGCAGCGGTCTGGGGAGGGAACGGAGACCCTCTCCCCACCTCCCACCCTCACTGCCAAGCAACATGGAATCAGGTTTTTTTGTTGTTGTTGTTGTTTGTTTTTTAAATGCAGGTTTCTGGGATTTTCTGCAATTCTAGAAAACACGATGGCCAATTAGAGTGTATACTGTATAGAACCCTAACCAGCATCAAGGTTGGGCCAGGTTTCTAGAGCATGCAAAAAAAAAAAAGAGTCCCCACTCCCATATGAGTTGACAGTATAAGGGATGTTGGGACAGAAAGAGAACATAACATAATTAAAAATACTTTGCCCTTCATCTAATGACCTTAACTCATTAGTTAGGTCATAACTTCACACTATAAAACATCTCCCCTGACCTAACAGCCCTTGGGATTTCTCCATCATCTTTTTATACCCATGATGCTTGACGCATAGGAGGTCAGTAGTATTTGTGTCATGGGATCCTTGCCCCCAACAGGGATATCTGGTTTTCTGCACGTGCCAGTTCCGGATATGCCAGGGCTAACCTGAAGTGAGGCGATGGCAAAGACCAGTCCCCGTCTCACTCGATCTGACAGATGCCACTTATCAGATGAGCACATAAATGTCAGATACAGAGCACAATGGCAGCCAAAGCACCAGCAACTAGTTTGCTGCTGTCAGATAACAGGAGTTTCTGGACAGTGAGCGCATCTCCCCTGAAGGGCAATCTGACACCGAAGGCCTAAGCTCTGTGCGCCTGTCCCCAGCCCCGAGGCCAGCGCACCTACAGGGCAGGGAGAGTGGGCTATTTCACATCTCCCCACCTCGCCCAGAGCCCTTTTAGGGTCACAACTCCATCTCCAGCTTGGACTGTGGGGACAGACACCTCTACAACCGTGACCTGGCTAAGCTGTGCTTGAGAAATGTGCTGCCCACCTCAATCCCCAAGCCCATTTTGGGCCCGCAGCGCCGCCCTCCCCCCACCCCGCTTCTGGTAAGGTGGGACGCAAGAAGCCCCTGGAGGAAGACACTGGGACTGGACATCCAGGGGGCCACTGCTGCTCAATATCCCTTTCGTCTCCCTAATGTCACAGCACCCTGACCAGCGCCCCGACTGAGGCGGCTGGTCTCCTCGGGGCGCATACCTCACCTTCCACTTCATTAGAACATCAGCTGATGCAGAACCCAGACCCTCCACAGGCGCCCGCCTCCTCTTCCGTCAGACAACCCCCTGCAGCCGCGCTCTCGATCCCACCCCTCGCCACTCCTCAGAACCCCCCTGGACCTGGACGCCTGCCTCCTCTCCTGGGGCTTTAACCCCACACCGTTACAACTGCTGAGATCTGCTCTGTCTTGAAAATGCCTCCAAGTGATCTTGCGGTCAGTTGCTTCTGCATGGTTTTGTACCTTATTTCTTGCCCATAAAGATCTGGCATCAGTAGCTACTACTGACCCTTGTCAGCACATGGTGTCTGGATTCTAACCCTATACCTAAAGCTGTTCTGTTAAAAAATCCCCTCCCCTCGCTGTGTTGCTGAAGGTCCAGCTTTCCCCCATCCTGCTGCACCGCATGGGCTACATCAGACCCCCTTGTGAAAATCCTCGCCCTGGGCCTCCAGGGTCTCTTCCTCCTCCTTGACTGTGCCTCCTCTACTTCCTGCCTGCTAAGGACGTGCACGCCTGGCCTCGTGCTGCGTTCTGTGGTCCCCGGGCTTTATTCCCCTCAGTCTGGTAGAGGAGGGGGCGCTTCTCTTCTCAAGACTGTCACTGCTTGTTGAATTCTCTCTGCTCACGGAATTCAAGCACCTCTGGAGAGGCCCCATCACAACCCAACATGTTCTAAATGAGTCCACACTTCTCAGTTAAAGTCTGGAGTCTCCGGCCCCTCCTCAGCCACCTTCCCACGCTCCACCCTCTGACAGGTCTCATCTGCTCCCACGTTCCACTTGCACCTGCCTGTGTGTTTGCATTCCCAGAGATGCCATGTTCAGATTGGCCTGAAGATTTTTCCACGTGCTGCTCCTTATGCCTGGAACACTGTTATCCAGAGATTTCACCTGAGCACCCTACACACCCTGTGCTCAGGTCTTAGCCTTGCTGCTACCTTTCTTTCTCAGAGCACCTGACCCGCTGCTCTGTAACCACCAGCTTCTAGGCTGTCAGCTCTGAAAGCAGAGACGGCGTCTGTCACATTGACTGGTTCTCCCCAGGCCTCACACAGCACGGTCTGAATTAACATGTGCTGAATAATGAACAAATGCGAATGCCCAGATCTTTACCTCCCACGTACCTGCCAACTGCAGATCCACATGTCGGGCTGCCTGTTGGTTATCCCCATGAGGGGGCTATCTGTTCTACTGGCAGCTCCAGCTCAGCATGTCCAAAAAGGAACGTGGTACCCCTTACCCTGTCCTTCTCAACTTAGTCCTTTCTGTTCCTCCCACTGCCCAAGCAGGAGGTGCTGATATGAGATGACTGCTCTCTGTCAGCTCCTCTCGCATTAGTCCTGCTGTCGATTACCCTTTATTGACCATCTTCTTCAATAAAGGTCTCTATTTTTCATATTACATGCCTGATACCTTATGGAGAGACTTCCTATAAGTGAAATAATTTGGTATTTGGCTTTCTCTGACTGGCTTATTTCACTCAGCATAATCATCCATGCTGTCTCAAAAAGTGAGATTTGCTTCTTTTTATGGCTGAGTCATATTCCATGGGTGAATGTACCACCACTTTTTTATCCACTCATCCACTGAGTGGACTGGCTATTATAAATAATGCTGCCATGAACTTAGGGGTGCATATACCCCTTCTAATTAGTGTTTTCAGGTTTCTGCAAATAAATCCTCAGAATTGGAATCACTGGGTGATAAGGCAGTTCCAGTTTTAGTTTTTTTGAGGAAATTCCATACTGCTTTCTGCAGTGGCTGCACCAGTCTGCATTCCCACCAACAGTGCACGAGGGTTCCCTTTTCTCCATATCCTCGCCAACACTTGTTTGTTGATTTACTGCTGACAGTCATTCTGACAGGTGTGAAGTGATATCTCATTGTGGCTTTAATTTTCATCAAGATTTGCTTTATATATTTAGGTGCTCCATTTATGTTGGGTGCATAAGTGTTTACTAAGGTTATATCCTCTTTTTGGATTGCTCCCTTTATTATTATATAGTATCCTTTTTTTGTCTTACTATAGCCTTTGTTTTAAAGTCTGTTTTGTCACATATGAAGTACTGCTACCCTGGCCTTTTCTTTTTCATTTCTATTTGCATGAAATATCTTTTTCCATCCCTTTACTTTTAGTCTGCTGTGTATCTTTTGTTCTGAGGTGGGTCTCTTGCAGACAGCATATATATGGGTCTTGTTTTCTTATCCATTCAGCTACTGTATTTCATACGTCTTTTGACTATAGCATTTAAGCCATTTACATTTAAAGTGATTATTTATAAGTATGTATTTATTACAATTAACTTTTAACCATGTCCCCCCTGCCTTCTCCTTAAAGAAGATCCTTGAACATTTCTTGTAATAATGCTTTGATTTAATGAACTCCTTTAGCTTTTTCTTGTATGGAAAGTTCTTCTTTTCTCCTTCAATATTAAATAATAGCCTTGCTTGGTAAAGTAGTCTCGGTTGTAGGTCCTTGCTTTTCATCATTTTGAGTATTTCATGTCAAGCCCTTTTTCCCTGAAATGTTTCAGTTGAGAAATCAGATGACAGCCTCGTGGAAGCTCCCTTGTAGGTAACTGCTTTTCTCCTATACTTTTACAATTTTGTCTTAAAACCTTTGGCCGTTTATGATGTGTCATGGTGCGAGTCTCTTTGAGTTCATCTTATTTGGGACTCTCTGCACTCCCTGGGCTTGTGTGTCTTTTTCCTTCACTAGGCTAGGGAAATTTTTGGTCATTATTTCTTCATATAGGTTCTCAACCCCTTGCTCTCTCTTCTTCTGGTATCCCCTATGATGCAGATGTTGTTACACCTCATGTTGTCCCAAAGGCCCCTTAAACTCTCACTTTTTAAAGTTCTTTTTTCTTTTTGCTGCTTGGATTGGGTGTTTTCTGCTACCTTGTCTTCCAAATCGCTGATGCAGTCCTTTTCTTCATCCAACCTACTGTTTATTCCTCCTAGTGTATTCTTCATTTCAGATATTGTATTCTTCATTTCTGATTGGTCTTTTTTTATGGTTTCTCTGTCCTTTCTCATGCTGTTTTAGTTCTCACTAAATTCCCTGAGCATCCTTACAACCATTTTTTGAACTCTGTATCTGATAAATTGCTTGATTTCATATCATTCTGGAGATTTCTCCTGTTCTTTCATTTGGGGCATGTTTGTCTTCCACTTTGGCTGCCTCTTTGTGCTTGTTTTTATGTATTAGGTTGATCTGCTACATGAGCTGCTCCCAGTCTTGGTAGGGTGGCCTTAATGTAGTAGGTGTCCTATGGGGCCCAGTCTCCTTGATCACCTGAGTAGGGTGCTCTGGTTCCTTGTGTGGCTTATGGGCAGCACTTTCCTGTAGTAATTGAGTCTTGATTGCTATTGGCCAGTTCGTGTGAGGGGTCGACCCTCAGGCTGACTGTGAAGATCAACCCCAACTATGGTGCATGAGCTGCTGTGTGCAGGTGTTGACCACACAAAGCAGAATCTGCCTCAGCAAGGTTTGGTACCTGCTGAGATCTCCCTTTGGATATGCTGCTTGTGAAGTTTATTGGTTCCTACTCTGATGTCTCCTGAAGCTGACCATTGGGTGTATTTGTTCTGGGGCTTCTTGGGAGGGACTCTGGTGCAGCCCAATGTCAGACACTGCCTGTAACTGGTCCTGAGCAACCTGTTTAGATCCATAAAGCAATCTACAGTTTGTGGCTGTCTCTGCTGGGCCTGGATGTGTACGGGAAGGACCAAGCTGCACACCAAGACCAGCTTTTACCAGCAGCAGGCCCAGGCGCAGGTCAGCAAGAGTCCCAGGGTACCCTGAGATCCACCTCCACTTGTCTGTTAGGCTCAGTTGCTGAAAGAGCCTCTGGTCATACTCAAGTTGCATGAGACAGGCTCTAAGTGAGTCACCAGATATGGGCAAGTGGTGTTCACCAGATTGATGCAGGTTCAAACTTGGTGCCAGTGCTGGATCTGAGGCCACTGAGGGTATACCAAGTCTAGCTGCCACCTGCTAGGTGTTTACACACCTTTGTGAGGGGCAGGGTATCAGGGAATCATCAGGTCCAAAGAGACCACGATTTGGCAAGTGAAGGGAGGTCTCTGCATCGGTTGGGCATGCAAAGGAAAAATGGCCCCTGTGCTAGAGCCACACAACTCAGTCTCTCCCAGATTCTGCCAGGAGCTGATCTCAGCAGGACATGGCTGCCAGGGGTGGAAAAGATGGAGCTAGTGGATCAATCTCCCATGACGGGGAGGTGCCGGTCAGGCTTGGGGGAAGGCTGGGGGAGTAGCTCCTGCCCCAGAGCCACATAATTTGGTCTTTTCTTGATTCTGCCCAGATCTCAGCAGGGCAGAGCCACCAGGAAGTCAGGAGGTGAGGCCACCGGAAGCCCAGAGAGTGGGGCTAGTGGATCTCCCATGAGGAGAAGACACCAGTAAGGTTCACAGGAAAGTGGGGGGGAAATGGCCTCTGTCCCAAAACCATACCATTCAGTCACTGACGTTCCCTGAGTCTGCTCAGACCTCTACATCCCTGCTCAGGCAGCTGACTCTCCAGTAGGGTGTGAATTCTGCAGGGTGGGGCAACAGGGTGTCCAGGGGGTGGGGCTATGCATTCCTCCCAGCTGATGTTGTATGGAAGGGAGTGCTCCACCCAAGAATGATGGCATTTGTGGTGTGGGTAAGGGACTCAAGCACAGGGATCCTGGTGGCTATCCCTTTGGCTCTCTCTCCAGAGCCACAAACCCCAGTCTCTCCTCACACAACTGATCTGCTCAGCCCTCCCTTTGCTGGAGCCCAGGGCGAGTGGCTGTGACTGAGATTTTGTGCACTTGCCCTTTAAGAGAGCACCTGTGTCTCTAGTAGACTCCTGTCTCTCCCTGGTGGACAGAATCCCTGCCAGTTTTCAGTCTGATGTTATATGGGTGCCTCTTCCTAGCTCTGGCACTCTGGGCTGTGGAGCCTGGCTTGGGGTTGAGATCCCGCTCTCCTCAGGGGAAACCTCTGCAGTTGAGATATCCCTCCAGAATGTCAGCCACTGCTCGTGGGAGTGGGGCCAGCCCTTTTTCCATCTCTGCCCTTCCTATCATCTTGATGTGGCTTTTCCTGTAAATCCTTGGTTATAAGACTACTCTTTACCTAGTCTTCAGTTAGTTATTCATGTTGATTGCTCTGTATTTTAGTTGTAGTTTCAGTTTGGTCCTGTGAGGAGGCGAGTGTAGCTTCCATCTACTCTGCTGCTGTTGGGTGTCTCCCACTGTCTGTTTTCTTGTAGGTCTGTAGTCCCCTCAAACTTGTAAACTCCTATCTTACTCATACACAGGCCCCAGCACAGTACAAAGGACAGTATGGACAGTCAGAGATTTGAACAAATGAATGCATTTTCAGGTGTGATGGAATTTCTAGAATTTGGAATTCCCAGGGGATGCTTGCCTCTTGTCAGGAGATCTTGAGGGTGAACAGGGAGAGTAATACACTGGCCCTGCCCTATTTCAACTGCTCCTGGACACAGAGTTCATTTACAAAGGAAGAAGAAATCCCGACCCCACTCACCTCTCACTGACGGCAAGGTTCTGTTGCTTTAAAAAACCCAGAAAAATGTTGAGCACCCAACTAGTCACTTTTTTGGGCTCTGCCCTAGTTTCTTTTATCACATTTTGGAAGAACTCCAGTAGGCCAACTTCATTCTGTAAAGAAAGGAAAATTGTATAAAACCTCCAAAAAAGTGAAAGATCAGCATTCAGAAGACAAATCAAACTGCCTACCTTGGACTCCTCTGAGACATTAACTTGTTATTTCCTAAACACGAAGATGTCGCCAGAAAATTCTGATCACTTCCAGTAAATAGCAAGGATTCTTCTATTGTAGTCATGCATTTATATAGCATTTTCTTAAAGGAATGAGCATATTTCAGAGCTGTGACTTTATGGACCAGAGGACAGTGACATTCACCATCCCCTAAACTCACTTCCCTCTCAATGTCAGCCTTGTGTACCCTGCATCCTTCATCCTGGGGCCCATAATGTTTGGCCTGAGTTTACTGTCCTGTCTTCTGCTGGAAGTCTTAGTGACTGCTAGAATAACAAGGAAAGCAAATCAAGAAGAAACAAACAGAATATTCCATCTCTGAAAAACCATGAGTCGTTTATAACTGTGTTCATCTCCACGTCATCCCAAAAGGTGACAAAAGTGGTTTTCCGAAAGAGGAAGAACATGGGTACATGTGACCCACTTAGTCCACATAACTGGTGGAGGGAGCAGCAGCTTCTAGCCTTCTGAATCAAGCTAGGCGCAGCTGACCCTGCCTGTCATTTTGCTCCGTGAAAGCCATAAACTGGGTTGACTTGTCGAGGAGTCTGTTTGAAGACTTTGCTTCCCTGCTCCGAGTTGTCAGCGCCATGGGTCAGGGGCCATGCTGCCTGTTCACACTGTAACTAGAGCTAAGTCAGTGCTGGGCCACGGCAGCTGCTTGGTAGGTGTCAGTAGATGGAATCAATGTCTCCATCACCACAGGTATTTTACAAAATCACATGTGAACACTCATTCTTTATCTTATCATATTTACCTTTCAATATGAGAAGTGCCACCATTATGCACAAGAATAACCCCAAGGCACTCATGCAGGTATACACTATGGCTAAATGCCAGCTCAGATAGATCTGGCAGAACCAAGAAATCTGGCTATGTCTGGCCTTTGTTTTTCAGTAAGAAAAAGAAAAACATGTCCTACTTGCACAGGGGAGGCTGAAGCTTCCAAATGCAGAGGGGACACATTTTAAGCAGATTTCCCCAGCCTGCTGAAATTCAAATCAAACCACTCTTTCCTTGAAATACGAGGTCTGTCCAGAAAAAAGTCCAGCCATTGTTAATATAACGAAAATGGTTTGCATAACACAGATGTAACCTGGCAGCCAGGGACAGTGGACTGGAATGCGCATGAGTGAACAATGATGACATCACTGTATTAGTCTGTGGGGGCAGTAGACCCTAAGTGAGCATATGTACTGTGTGGTCATGGCATTCAATATGACTGAGTGGGAAGAGCAATGAACCTGCATCATGTTTTGCGTTAAGATTGAACATTCCTCTGCGGAAATTATTTGGATGATTCAGAAGGCCACATCTATGGGCGACTAGTGACTGGCAGCTTCATCACGACAACATGCCTGCTCCTGCATCATGTCTTGTGCAGAGTTTTTTGGTGAAACATCAAATCACCCAGGTCACTCAGCTCCTCTATAGCCCAGATTTGGTGCCCTGTGACTTCTGATTTTTCCCAAAACTAAAATCATCTTTGAAAGGAAAGAGATTTCAGACCGTTGATGAGATCCAGGAAAATATGATAGGGTAGCTGATGGTGATTGGAGAACCATGTGAGGTCCCAAGATGATGACTCTGAAGGGGACTGAGCCCTATATACAATGTTTCTTGTATCTTCTTCAATAAATGTCTCTATTTTACATAGTATATGGCCTATGTACAATGTTTCTTGTATCTTCTTCAATAAATGTCTCTATTTTTCATAGTATTTGGCCAGATACCTTCTGGACAGACCTCGTATTCCTTTTTCACTTTATACTATAGATAAGCTCCTCATCTTTGCCCCTTTTGGAGAACTTTCACCAAACAAAAGAACTTTCTGGAAAAAATAAGATACTAGGAAGAAGCAAGACATAGTAACAAAAAGGTTCTGAAATTTTAGCTATTGTAGATTCTGTAATATATACACAGGCACACAGTTGCTAAAGTAGAAATTTCAAAATAAAAAATTCTACATGCCCTTTGTAACAGAAAAATTCTCTGGTGACAAGCCAACTGAATAATCCCGTGATCATCTCTAGAATCTCTTTTCAAGCCCATGCTGTTATTCTGCTCATGCTAAACCAGGGCAGAGGCCACCTCAACAGCCAATGCTTGACTACAGATAAAGGCAGAGGCAGAGAGCATGAAGAGGGAGTTCTGCTTAACTTATGGAAAAGTATTCTAACCTCCATAATGCTGCACAAACCGCTGGGGAAGTAGAAAACTGCTATCCAGCCCAAATCAGACAGGAAGAAACCCTTTGTTCTATCCCAGACTGGCTGGCCGCTGGTGAAAAGAGCTGTCAGGAGAACTCTCTGCCAAGGAAAGGTTTTCTAAATTCACCTAGAAATATTGCGCTTGAACTCGCAGGCTTGGCTGAGTTGCTGGGACGTGATGAATATCTATTCCTCTCCCCTTGGGTGGTTTTTTATTGGATGGATAACTTGGCAAGTCAGATTTCTGTTTGTCTTTTCGTGTCAGTGCTGTGATGAAGCCTCCTGGAGCTGGTCCTGTGCTCCCCTGGAAGAATCCATGGTTTCCGCACACAGCCTGCAGTGGACACGGAAACCTGCAGTCGTGACCGGGCAGCTGCAGATGGGGCCGAAGAAGGCTGAGCTGCCGCCGCCCGGTGATAACGGATCAGTAAAAAGGCACCTATGGGTGCCTGCTCTGCTTCTTTAAATCAGAAGCCAGCTTTTCAGGAAAAAAAAACCCCAAAACATTCTAGGTAAGTTCTTCTTGGTTTTTCTGAGACAGGCAAATGTTAATACACTTGGCACAAATCTCAGCGGTCTCTTGTGAATGTGGCAGGGCAGCCATCTGGTCTTCTCAGAATGACAGTGGGCCAGTAATTCCCTTACATAAAAACCAGAATAAGAGTAAGGCAGAAAGGCCACTGCATTAGGGGACCCTTAGCGTCCTTCTCAAAGGCATCAAGCAAGACTTCAATGTAGCGCTCATCTCCCCTGTACCTTTGGCAGAGACAGAGACAGCTAGAGCAGCAGAGACCAGTGATCCTGTCTTTGGGATAATACCAGACAGTCTTTACAGCTCTACGCCAGGAAGCATCCTTTTCACATTTTATCAAAATTTCCCACAGCATTCAATTACACCAGAGCCAATGCCAGGTCAGCCTCTTAAATGCTCCCAGAACCCTCCTCTGCTAATGGATCTGTCAGCTGGTCGGTGCTGGTGTGAGGCCAGGCGGGGGCATCAGTCACCCCGCCTCACTGCCTGCTCTGGGAAGGAGCCCCGATGTGCCCTGGCATCGGGCCCTGGAGGCAGTGTGCCCCACCACTGCCTTTGCATTCTGCCTTCAGCGATGATAAAATGTCGGAAGACTATCCAGCTGGAATAGGATGAAGGCTGATTTCTCAACTGCCACACCCAGTGAACCTGACAGCAGGGCAGGCATGAGTGGGGCTATATTTAGAAGCTGAATGAAACCGGACAGAGACAGCTTCCCAGGGGCAGATTCAGAGAAGTAGCAGCCCAGAGTGCAAGTCGAGGACCAGCTGGTTACGTGGCGGGCGACCTGGCGGAAGAGCGACCCTAGATCAGCAATTCGGACGAGAATACGTGGGAGACACGGGGACCAGTAGCCAGCCCTGGGGGGAAGCTGCACACGGCTGCTGCTGCAGTTGATATTAATAATAATAAACTTTCACAGCGATTAGTAGGTGTCACACACTGTTCTAAGCGTTTTCTCTATATTAGCTCATTTAATTCCAAAAACGACCCTCGGAGGCAGGTGGCAGAATTTTCTTTTACAAATGAGGACACTGATGCACTAATGCGCAGGAGGTCACAGAGCCTGAAAGCAGTTGAGCTGGGGTTTCGACCTCTGTGGCCTACGCTCCTAACTTTCATGCCTTCCCGGGGCCCAGACTGGGCAGCAGTGCCAGGTGTGAGGTGAAGCAACTTGCTCATCAAAAGAATGCACTTTCCCACCATTTCCTTTATTTTATATGATACCTGCCAGCCGTTCAAATGTTCTTAACATATTAAAAATGTTGCAAAGGCCCTTGGCAATTGGCTTAGAAATTAGGAGAAAATGGCAAGTTCACTTCCTGCCTTTGCCAATGCACACAAGACTACATGGAACTCTGCTGCGGCACGATGCACATCTGCTCCCAGGCCACGGAGGAAGAGGGCGGCACTGCCCTCCCGGGGCCCAGAGCTCCCCCGGCCTTTCTGCTGCGTCCCCTCTGCACCCTCTCCTTAGGGACGTCACAGCGAGCACATCCAAACCAAGACAATGCCCACTTCTGGAATACCTCTGACATTACCAGATAAACCCCATTATCGCTCATAGTTTTGACATTAAGCGTACTGTGTTTCACTACATTCTAACTCCTCCCAAGTGAGGGTCACACGGTGGGTTTACACCTAACCGGGCATAGTCTGCCGGTGGTGGGTGCCACGGGTTGTACAGGAGACCCTCCATCTGTGGACTGAACGACAGTGGCTCCAGCTGGGCAAGGTGCGCACATGCTATGTGTTATTTTGTGGAAGTACAACCACAAACTGCATCCATCTTTCTCTGCTGTGTGGCGGGGTGACAGAGTGCACAGCCACCGAGAATTTCTGGAGACACTGTTAGAAGGCCCAGCGTGTGCATATCAATGGGGGCTCTGTTGTTCCCTCATTATCCCTGTGAATTTGGCCATTCTTAAAATGTGACAAAAACAGAACGCAGACCCACCAACTCTGTGATAAATGGCCCTGGAAATAACACCAAATGGTAGTGTTGGGATGGAAATGAAAGTGAGGCAAGGGGGTCCGAGAGAGCGGTGGCCCGGGCAGAAAACAGAAGTCGTGGCTGGGCTAAGGACTGGGATGCACAGCGGGCCGTGGCTGGGATCTGTGCTGCAGATGAATCCGC